ATATCTTTGAACCAATTTCGGTTTTCCTTAGTTACATCCTACTGCGTCTTACATCTTATTTGGGCACTTGGCGTTCATGACGAGTCTTAAAGGACGAAACAGTTGTAAGATGTAATTAAATTCATTATTCGACTCTATGATTCTAGACTGACATTGAATGGTGTTGTTGCCGTGTGTGCACGATTCTTATAGATTTCGCGGAACACTGGCGTCTACACCAGAGAAAGGATTCGATATGTGCGAGATGCGTGAGATCCGCTTTCAGAGTTGATTAAATTTGACTATCGCTATCATGAGTAGCTTAAAATGCTAAGCAAAGCACTAAGTCCATATTCCCTGACCCCGATGTTAAAGATTACGTTTAACGATTTTGAGAAAAACACTTGCTTGTCCGTAGGTGAAGCTTCCTCGATAACCAAAGGAATCCTTACTTCACAATAAATTATATTACCAAAGATGAATTTAGATTGGCCAATCATGCTTCCAATCATAGTTGTGCAGAATGCCAACCCGTGATACGGACCTCCCTCGTTTACATTGAACAGAAAGAACGTCACAAGAATCCATATCAAATGATTTGTTGCTCGTTCAGCCATCCACCCAAACCTTTACGTTCCTTACAACTAATTTCGGGTAACGATATATTAATTACACTAAACATGTATACTTCAGACGTTGAATTAAAGGAATGTGTGGTTTGAAGAAATACAAAGATGTTTTGGCTATCATTGATGGTACGTTCTCTTCTGTTGATTGGTCTACACTGTTCTCTCCATTCCCATGCACCACTCTTAGGTAATGAGCGCTGTCTTTTCACAGAAAGGTGAACGGCAGCACAAGTACAATGTCGTGATATGTGCTGGTGCCATGGGAAAACTTGTTGAAATTGAAATCCTTAAATGATCGAATTTCTGGTTGACAACATCGTGGTTGAATTTGATGCTATCGACGTTACAATAGAAATAAACTGTCCTTTGACTGACTTGTATTTGTTTTCATACCAAACCGATTTTACTAAAAAGTATGTAAAACAAGTCAGATAGCCTTTACCATGTCTTCCAATTTCACTTCAGGAGATATGCATATTAAAATATGTTATCTATATCCATTAGAATTTGAAATCAACAGCTGGTTAGATATTCAATTACTTTATACAATATAACTATTTCCAGAATACGTATCGATAGCTGATAGGTTTACTTTTTACAAAGTGTTTCAACAGATGCACGTTGATGAAGGAAATTGGGAAGCCAAGTGATCGTTATTATGATCTCATTTGTATAATATTACGTTAAATGTGCTCGATTCTAATTAGAATGTCTGGTGGTTTTATTATTGTAATAAACAGACATTGTTAAAAAAAGCATCAAGAAAAATACATATAGCAACATAATCATTATTCAAACTCAATATTTTTTCAAGCAACTATGGCAAAATATGAACAAATGAAAATAAGACATGTGTTCCGGAAGAGCAAACGTCTTCTGCTTCATCGAAGACATCCACCATGCAAACCTTGGTCGATCCAAGTAATTTATAACATGTTCTCAAATGAGAACAGGGTATACAACAACGGAACCAGCAGGCAATCTAACGAGCGTCAAATATGTCCAGCGTCATGTTGCACAAAGAAATAGAATATTTATCAATGAGATGACTACGGCGACCGCAAAACTTCCCGATAATTTCATCTACCTGCATCTTTTGAACCCATATGTTACGATTTTGTCAGTTAGCTGACGACTTCTTGCACGAAAATCGTGATAATGGGAACATGTTCAATATCGAATCAACTGCGACATGCAAATACCATAGGTTGGGGATGCAGGGATGCTGCTATCCGGAAATGGAAAATCCACAGTAGGAAAATTAAAAACATCACGCTTATCATACAAAACATGATGGAAAGTTGTCAATATTAGCATAGTTGGTGTCGTTTTATTATATCAGTTCGGCATCAATTACGACTCACACAGAAAAAGTGCAGTTTGAATCCTTATTTAGCTCTGGTATATCTTATTCTAATTATATTTGAAGGTGATGTTCACTTGTGCCTCTTCTGTAAAATCCTATGAGATTTACATGTGGTAGGCTACTAGTAGACTTCAGTTCCCGAAATCTGCCCTACCTGCATGCATGTTTTTGCTCGAAAAAGTATGGTCGTTGTTTTTACTCTTTCTCGCACATAAAATATGCACTAAATACAATGAAACTTGTGGCAAAATGTCGTTAATTCGTGACCTTTCTGATGATTGTAAAAACGTTTCTACAGCTTGTTTTACCCCTGTAACCTATGAGGGCCTCGTAGAATGAGGTCAACCAGAGCTTGGTTAAATGTTAAATGGCATGATAATAAAGTTTATTGAGGTTATTACATGTAGCAGTGACCTTCATTATGAATGAAGGTCACTTCTTTATAGCAAGCTTCAGAGCAGTTCTGTTATAAAGGTTCTGCATCATTGATACAAGTGGCGTATAGTTCCCCCCAAAAGTTCTATTGGGTTAACACTCACTCTTCAGAGGAAGTGCTTGGGAGTGATTTTCGGGTCGAGGTCATTGTTACCATAAATAAAAATCAGTAGCTACTTAAATTAATTAACTCGAATTATTACATGCAAAATCTTCATTGCTTTTTACCAGAAAGCACTTGCTCTAGATTATTTCCGTGTTCAGATATCAATGGTCAAGACCAAAGTTTGGGAAAATACAAAAAAAAAAAAAAAAAATACATACCATATCTTAATATTACTGAATATTTAGTTAAAAAAAATAAAGAATCATCACTGATTGAAATCAAATGAGAAGTCTTCTGACTACAGGTCAAAGAGCTTTTCATTACTCGAAATTTGGGCAAAAGTCATTCCTACAAGAGGAGTGGGATCTTAAAGAACTAGCTCTATCTCCCCTATTGGGCACCTCCTCTCCTGTCCCAGGAGGCCTAGAAAAGCTGTTTACACAAAATGAGTTCCCTTCACCTACAGACCAAATTGCTGGAGCAAGATTTAAAGATATAAAAAAAAGAAATAAAAAAAAAAAAAAAAAAATGGGTCCTGCCTTTCAGGTCATGGAGGCTGGGACACACCATCTATACAAAATATGTTCCCTTTCAGCAGAGTGCTTCTAATGAAAATTAGGTAAAAATACGCTGTTTCATGACTAGTATTGATTTTCAGAATCATTTGACAGACGGCAGACACCACAGGATAAGATTACCAGACTTTCTGACCAGGTGAGCTAAAAATTAGGCAATGTCAGCTGCACTAGGCCATAATAAATATACTTAGTATTTTTGGCCAGGTTAATTATCAAGGTAAGATTCAAGACTTTTTCCATCATTGATAATTGTTTATTTTCATAAGTATCACACAGCCATCTGTCAAGCAGGCAAAACCTGCAGTAAATTAACTCTACATCCAAGATATGATCAATTATTAATTAATCATTGCATTTATGTAAAGGAACTTTAAAACAAACCAATTATGCAACTATTAAATTCTTTGGTTATACTGACAACAATCAGGTTATCAGACGAAGCATGCTTCTATAGTAATCCATTGAAGTCAATCTATAGACCCAAGTCTTTGCACATTTGGTTTTAAAGTTCAATAGAAACAGCAGGTACAAAAAAACATTGCATGCCTTGCACTACAGCGATTCAAATATCTCAATATTTGATGAACACAATAGAAGATAAAAGGCAGAAAGAATCAGAAAAACAAAGGATTTCAGGGAAAGAAATGTAACAATAGAAAAAATATCTTAAATTGTGCTCATCTATTAAGCTAGTAGTCAAACCAGAATAACCTATCGTGATTAATCTTACCTGGAATTTTCCAATTGGGCGTTTAAATTAGTTTTTAGTAATGCCAACAGGTCAAAAGTTCCCTGTGGGAATACTCTGTAATCAATATTTTACTGAAAAGGGTAATGCTTTTTCTGGTCCAACTATACTTACAAATCTATGTACAAAATTATATTACCAGTCAACATACATTGAATATCAAACAAAACTTTATCCAAAGTATTTACCATCAGTGCAGAAATAAGAAAACAGTCTCTTGCCTTTAATTCAAAATTTGCATGCACTCATAAAAGACTAAATACATGTAACAATGTTTTGTCTCCTGCTGCTTGAAGTTAGTTCCAAATCCAAATTATGGAAATTTCAGCAGAAATAGCTATGAGGGACACAGGTTGTTAATCCATCTAGCAAAATTAAGAAAGATTATCTCCTTCAATCATTATGAAATGGTCCTTCCACCCTGTTATGCAAAATAGTTCAGTATCAAGTTTTGAACTCATCCTTACACAAAGACCAATGCACCATTATCAATCACATATTCATTTTAGTATGATACTGTTATCAATGTATAGAACAAGAAGCTCCTGTCTACCTGTCAAAAAAAGAGTTGGTTTTAAAACATATTCACCCATGTTTGAGTATTAGAATACGGTCAAATGATCAAGATCTACTTAACATATCTTTCTTTTTTCATGTTTTTTTTTCAAAACCACAAAACTAAAAGGATTTTTCATGAAATGGACTTCAATTTCCTCTATCAAATTTATTTTCATTTTCTATTTTCCATAATTTTGTTCAATCTTTGAAAACAACAAAAATAGTTTATAGTAAATGGTTGAATGTTTTATGAACCAATCAGATGTGATAGATCATCTATAGGCACATTGAATTCATGAATATACAAAATGTTAGCAGACAGTCATACTTAAAATTTCCTCAAATTCAAGAAATCCTTTTTCGTTATCAGATTTGTAGGAAAGCCCACACATATTAGACAAAATTCATACTTTTTGTTATAACTTGAACTGATTATAATATAAAAGGAAAGATCAGCAAAAACAGCTATGAATGATCATTCCAAAATGTTTATCAGACTATTGAAAACATGATCAAGCAAATATGTGAGAAATAAATCACAATTTACAGAAAATTTCTCACCAATTAGCATTGGATGATCAAATATTTTTACAATGTCATTATGAGCTAGCAAGAGAAGATAGTATGTACTTGTATAGTACAACAATGACAAGATCACATAATCACGAAATATAAAAGCACTATCAATAAGTAAACACTGAAATGTAAAAATAATTATGAAGCAGACCTAGCCTGTCAGATTTTATTCATTACAGCAAATAAAAAAAAAAAAAAAAAGCACTAGTAACCAAAAACCCTTTATGAATAAGAAATGAAACAATACTTTCAGCTGAACAAAGATTTCTCTGATATTTCAGCACAACTTGATGGATTTTTCCGTCTCATTCAGAATCACCGTACAACATAGAACAAACAGGAAAGCAGTTTACAATCCATCTTTGTGAATATTAAGAAAGTATGTTCCTATATACAGTCCATTGTTTGTTTCAGGACTGAAAAACATTTCTATGGTTAAGGCTAACTGCCAGCACTATAAGCTATTTGATCCAACTTCTAATGCACTTTCAGGAAGAACACTCTAGCTTTCAGTCCGTCTTTTTATAAGCCACCATGGTGTCAAGCTTGTGTATGCTGGTAGAGAAGGAACGCAGTCTAACTTCCTCTGAGTTGGCAATGAAGTGTGGGCCATCCTCGCCCCACGAGCTGGGCACCTCGACATCCTTGTCTGTATATACCAGTAAGTCAAAGGCACCTGTAAAAAAAGAAAAAAAAAGTTAAAGTTATATTTCAATGAATAAGAGCAGGTTCTGGACACATTCTATATAACGAAAATATTTCTGTAAAATCCTACATTTGCATATTGGCATTTGAAATCATATCAACAGTTTCCAAAATAATGATTGAATTAAGTTATGCTAACTGTCTAGATTCCCATGTAATTCAGGTGTCAGTATTGTTTGGGATTCAGCGTCTCTTATACAAAAGCAGTGATATATCCACATGTGACTCTGAAGTCATGTACTCAGAGAATTTTGATGGAACTCATAGGATTTCTGGAAACACTTAAATTTCACATTGTGGGACCCATTGTTTACAGCAATGAAGCTGAAAAGGACTTGTGAAAATAAATTGCAGATTAATCATGACAAAAGCAATACTGAAAACTCATAAGAAATACCAAGCGACTTAAATATTACTTTAAAAAGCAAATATTATAAACATAATTTAAGACTTCTGTGAGACATGTACTCACTTTAAAGAATAACTCTGGCTAGAAATAGGACTCATCACAATTCTGAACAATATGTTCTGTTGTTAGTGGTTACAGAAGAATAGTCTATTTTGAGCAAATTATTTCAGTCTGCCAAATACCCATGCTGGTTACAATATAAAAGTACTTTAGTACTTTCAGTCATAAATTTATACAGAAGGTTCAAAATTTTCAAACAGTAGCTGCCTCAATATTTTAGACTTGTGAATCATACAGAATTGCTTTTCAAAAACAGCAGCTGCAAAATTTCATAAAAATGTATGGTATCCAATCAGTTATCAACTTGAGCAAAAAAACTGGTCTCTACTCCAAGGGCCACAACATATCAATGTATAACAGAACTTCTGTACAAATGCAGATGACGAGAGATATTTCAGACACCTAATTAAGCACTGAGGCAGTCCCATGCTGATCTTTATCATTTCAATGTTTTACCTCGTGCTGTTTAGATTGGCAGTTGTTCTTATGCAACTGATTTTGGTAAGGTTACATCATAGTAAATGGAAGTCAAAACATTTAAGTAGGTAATTGAGAGTTACATGGGCATCACACATAAGTATCAAGGCAAATTTCTTTTTGAAGCTTAACTTACAAGGTATGTGTATGTATGTTCATAAACTGGGTAAACAAGCAAATTCATGGAATTTATATCCCCCCTCCTTCCAAACATATTGTAAGCAAATATTTTAGAGGTTAGGAGTAAACATGTCATAATGCTATATAGAATGATATATTCTCTCGAGCTATGATGTGTTGCTTTAAAGCCAAAGAAAGATGTAAAGGATTATAGAGAGTAGATGTTTTATTGGACATATCAAATATTAACCAATAAAGTGAACTAATTGAAGAAAACTTGCATGCTAGTAACTATAATGGTGCTTAGCAGATCTATGGTCATCAGCAGGTATAGCAGTCCACACAATATGATGATCGGTATAGGGGACTGGATAATATTTGTGGGACTTCAAGTTACATCTAAATCAGATTATATTTAGGAAAGTTAGAGCACAAAAACTGACCAACCAAAGAAATGAAAGCATACCTAATTAGTATGCATATATATTAGCATAAGATGCTGATTGCTGCACTCAGTCTTATGTGCCCTAATATGCATCTGCTGACCAAGTTTCATCTAAATGGAATTATATTTACAGATAACTGACCAATGAAATCAAAGGATACCTCAATAGTATGCATAATCATTAACAGATGACACTGATAGTCCAACTCAGTCTTAATGACCCCAAGATGCATCTGCTGACCAAGTTTCTGCTGACCAAGTTTAACTCAAATTGGATGAGATTTGGGGAAGTTAGAACACGGAAATGAAAGTGTGACAGACAGACGGACGAACCCAAATTAATATCCCCTTGTTTAGGTGAAAGCGGGGGATGAAAATAGTGATATAGCTTCAAATTAGGAACTACATTCTTGTCTCTATTTTGGGGTAAACTGCTTTTTCGCAAGGGGATACAGCTTTTTCTGATTTCAACCGTGAAACGAAGTAAAAAAGATCACTGTCAAGTTAATATGATACTTACAAGCACTTTCCAGCAAAGGCAGAAAGGTCACAGAGGCTGTTATCTGCCGTATCACAGAACAAATTTCTTTGTTGATTTCTTTCACTGACTTTTCTCTTGGTTTACTGATAACACAAAAATAGGAATATGTGAATGAAAGTAATTAAGTTAAATACATTGTCACCATTGCTGTATAATAAAATTTTAAAATCAATTAAGAAGAAAAAGAAGGTAAATAAATGTAAAGAAAGATAATGGATTGTAAGGTCACCAAGAAGTGCTGTCTTTTCCCTCTCTAATTTTTCAAATTATAACTCTTGTGCTCAGCAGCATACTATACCGTATTTATTCCAATAAACGCCCAGTCTCTAATAAACGCCCACCACCCCCCAACCTGTTTTTTTAACCAAAATTTTATACTTTCCCCGTTTGCCCAGGATTTTTGTCCAGCCTCGCACATGTATACCACAATACCACTTGGTATGTCATCTTTCGGAAGGGGACGAATGCCTGGCATGTGCACAAGGGGGGCGATTTTAGTCCCATCGGCATATGTTGCCAGTGTAACCATTATTTTTTTGTTTTTTGTGGCCAGTACTGTAAACTCTGACCTCCTTTTCCCCCTTCATTGCCAATGTCGATTTTCCTGGCATGTCAAACCACACCGGGGTTTCGTCCATGTTAGCGATATGGCTATCGGGTTATTCTCGTAGCCGATGCATTCTTAACACGAAATTCAAAAAACTGTCAATACGATAATCAATTAATGAAACTTCATGTTGTGCCACATGCGTAGATCCCCTGAACGAAATGTTATGTCTCTTTTTGAATTTAGAAAACCATCCATATGAGGCTTTGAACGATTGACTACCATTTGCCTTATGCATACGCAGGGCCTCAAACCGCAATGCTTTCCCAGTCACTCGTATTCCGGCCTCCCGTCTCTCCTGTAGCCATCTCATCAGATTTTTGTCAATATCTTCATATCTGACATGCCTACCACCTCCTTTACAGTGTTTAGATGTTTTAGAAAGATTTTCTAATTTTTCTTTGTTTTGACACCAGCCCCGCACTCGTTTTCTGTCAACACGAAACACTTTCGCAGCGGCATGTTTACCCTTCTCCTCTGCGAAGATGATTGAAAGCAGTGTCGTAATTTCATTTTGTCCCAGACATTGTTATCAGGTATGTGGGATTTATTAAGAAACAGACTGGCTTATATACCACTGTGTTTTTTCATTTTGTTATGCAAACTAGGCCTACAAGCGATGATGAACATTGTACGTTTTTGACTGAAGCTGACACGATGTTTCATACAAGAATTCAGGTTATCAGAATGCAATTGACAACAATGTTTAAAGCTACAACGATGTTGGAATTACTGCAATTTTCAAATGCATTCTTTGCTGAGTAATTCGTTAGTTTGCTAAACAATGTTTTTAAGTGGCAGCCATGGCATGTCACGACCAACAAATTATGAAATTTTGTGTTCTATTAATCGCCCCCTGTTTGAAAAATTTCACGCCCCCAGGGCGTTTATTGGAATAAATACAGTATTATGTTCCTTCATTAGAAAGGCGTGAGTGCATATTTACAATATGACTTATCAATATGATTTTTCCCAATCAAGTTTGTACTTAAGTTTGTACTTTCAAGGTCCTGGACTGTTCTTTGATACTGTATACATACCTTTCTTCTAACACAGTTTTATCACACTCTACATCAAACTGCCATCTCTCCATCACCTCGTTGGTGTCTATGTCTTTAATAACAACAACTAGTTTCTTCACTGTCATACTCAACAGCCATTCTACAAAAGAGTATTGAAAGATACATCTCTAAAATCCATGCTTATGTACAAAAGTACATTAACTACCCAGTAATACTTCATTACTATAACAATTAAGTGTATTCATAAATCAGATTATTCTACAAGTTACCTTGAATAAAGTAGTTGTCTATGTGGTATCTTTTTTTTCATTTGAAAGATATCTCCTATATATATAATCTAGTTGCTGACTGAAATAGATTGCTACCCTCAATTTTGAATATTTTTTTTATGATATATAACGTGTGTAGTGCAACTTGGCCTAAAATTAAATTTCAAAAGAGAGGCAACAGTTTGGATTGCTACCCTCAATTTTGAATATTTTTTTTATGATATATAATGTGTGTAGTGCAACTTGGCCTAAAATTAAATTTCAAAAGAGAGGCAACAGTTTGGAAAATAATTTTGCCTTAAATATTTGATATGTTTAGACTTAAAAAAAAGTCATCTTCCCAGATACAGGCAACCATATAAACAAAAACTATGTAGGTTATATACTTTTAACATGTGACAGCACTTCATTTAGATAATTTTTAAGGGCATCATCTGAAGACACCAGCAGAGTCAGGCCATACTGTTGTACTCGCGTAAAATCTTCTGGAGGGTAGATTCCTCGCTGGTACAGAATACTGTTGATTCCATACCCTGGAAAGAAAGTAAAACTAATGTTGATATCTGTCCATATCAGAAGACATGACTTGGTGATGGAGAGGTGATGTTGACCAATTTACATTCAATTATATGTAACCTTGGTAAAAAAAAAAAAGCATGGGCGCCAATGTAACAGATCATGTTATGATTTACTTCTATGCCTCTGCTAGGAATCCAGGGCTCTCGATCTGCCAGATTTGGGGCTGATATTCAGCCCCATTCCCAATGCAAAATAGTATCTTTTTTTCCGAATTGAGACCCCAAGTTTTCCCAATTCTAAGGAAAACACTGCTATTTTTCTCAATCCTAAGGGCCCCAGGCCCCAGTCCGAAAATGGGGTGTGAGAGCCCTGGAATCAAACCCCGGACCCCTGGCTTTCTAGTCTGACGTTCAACCGATCAATCTAAAGAGAAGTTCTCTCCAGCGGAGCGGTATTTTGCGGCTAGTACTTTACCAGTGTTACATATATTTTATCTTTTGGTATACTACAAGTCTTAAAGTATTAAAAATGCAGCCTAGTTTGGGACACAGGTTCCATACCTGGTCAGAGCACTTTACAGCAATGAATGTTTTCCCTGTTCTTTCACAATAAAACAATGGAGGAAAGTAGTCAAAGCACAAAACTCTAGTGCAGTAATCTGGTACAATTAACTCATCCTAATATATATCCTTCTGGTTGTTCGAACAAGCAAAATAAACAAAGTAACATAAAACAAACAACTGCTGCTACATATACCTCGGGGACAAATCCCCGTGGTAAACATTGGTCTGTACATGTGTACTTCCAGAAAGGACAAAACGTATTTTGACTGGCTTTTTATATTTAAAAAAAAGACAAATGACGGGGAGGTCGGAAGTTTCATTTGGTAAAGATATTAGTCAATGTTGCCCTTGTAGGCCAGCAATCAAATTTTGTAGTGAATGAGGAATATCAACATAATCAAGAACTGACACTCAAGATTGCTTATATTTACGATTTCACGATATGTTTACAGATTAATAAAAGGCTGGTATCGAAGAGAGGATGTGTTTTAGATTTAATGCTGATGACAATTCAGTTGATGCAGATATGTGTCTATCTCCTAAGACATGGCCTGACAGTCAAAATGAGTGTTCAACTCTACCACAGCAATACGATTGCTGACAGCGGACATAGACTTTCTGTATTATCAAGAGAAATTGTTGATATTGATCATGACCAACTCGTGTTACAATTCAATACTCTTATACTTACAAAAGAATTCAGACACGATTTCAGTCGATCCCTTCAAGGTGATGGCGTTCTGAGATGAAGTAGCAGCCATTATTCAATGTTCGCGCCATTCGTTGCGCCCTCTATAATTAATCTTCTAGGCAAGGGAGCTTACTCATCGATAAATTTGCTCATTTCATTACATTATAGCAGAGAGTGCAGTGAGTTTTGATAAAATTTATTTAATCCTGTCAAATGTTTCCAATCGAAATGGAACCCATATGATATGAGAATAAATTAATACCAGTTAATGCATATTGCGAAAACATAACACAATTCCAACTATTTATTTGACAGAGGGGAACTAACTCGCATAAAAGTGTTCAGCACAAATTTGACGCCATCTTAATCTACAGAGTATGTCTCTGCTGGCAATATAACAACCAGTTTAGGATGTCGAATTGAAGCTTTTAACATATATAATCTACATAGATATTTGAAGAATTATTTTCTCCTTGTATCTTAATTGTATTCCGGACCCTGATTGTAAAGTGATTCAGTGAAATATACGACAATCTGATTAAAAAATCCTCATTGTGCACTACATACTTAAGAAGATATTTAGAACGTACTGTAAAATGATAATCTGTTTTAAATCAGGTTGCAGATACGAACCTTCGAACGAAAATCAAAATTAAACTTATACGATATTTATCTAAACATAAAGAATACAATTTACAAGGTATGCGAACTTCTAAAGGAAAAAAAAACTGCGCCGATGATTATAATTTATTTTACGGGTCTTGCGTCTACTGTTGTGTTTTTCAACAGACAAGAATAGCCAGAAAAGACTAAGGAGAATGTTCATGGAAAGGAAAAGAAGAATATCATGTACTTTTATAATCGTAATCTATTGACTTTATCATATACCGCGTCTTTTAAAAACTGTTTTATTGAACAAATTGGTGTTACGTCTATCACGGATATTGTTCAGCATATTTAATTTCATTGTTTTCATATGTGTCTTAATACAATTGTAATGGTAAATTAATTTGCTCTGCCATGACATACAATCGCACCCTTTACTGTTTATATACTAATATATTGATTCATGAAAATCATATTTCCATTGTTATTTGCTGTTAATGATGTTGATCGAGTCGAATATTCCATAGCAAAGATATCACTATTTTAATATTTTTTTCTTGATATGAAATTGTATTTCTATAATTTACTGACTATATCCTATTCTTAAATCATAATCTACCTACTTTGAAACAAGCAAAACATTTCAGTTCTGTTTATAGTTGGTTATCTCCCCTTAGATCGTCTCTATATCGAAATATGGCGTTCTTGTTTGCGTATTGATATTTCATGTTTAACCTAAAACACCACACCAGGCCCTTAATGTTCAAAGTACAACAACTTAGACAAACACCGAATCAACATTCAAAATTTTTATTTCCGCAAAAAAAAAAAAAATGTTATCAACAATAGCACGTAGTCATATGGGGCACCAGAAAATGTTTTCCATCTTGACCGTTGCTCTCACTTCTCATTGACATCAATGGTAATCACCGACAGAAGTTACTTAACAATACTTCTATACACACTGTCTGTGGCAGTGATCCAGCTGCAGCTTTTAGCAAAATGAAAACTGAGATAATATTTCCAAATCTTTAAAAAAAAAAGAAAAAAAAAAAAAACTTGAATTCGAAAATTTACTGACACGTTTGTCGCTAAGAGCTTCATCTAACATCAAATGGAATGTTACAACTTCTGGTACCAAGGAACCGAGAGTGAAATTATATATCCCATAGATCCACGTATCTTTTCATTTGAATAATGATCCACTGATATCAGTCATGATATTTTCACATTCATTCAAAATGTTGACCAGATAAAGACATAGAATATCGAATATTAGTACCTTGATTTATATAAACAAACAGTTTAGTATAAAACTCTTATACATAACAGATATTAACATCTAAGGACAGATATATATTTACAACAAAAATACTTCATTTTCTTCACTTAGTGCTTAGATTTAACAAGTTTGACAAAATATTATCTTTGTGACATGGCTGACTTTTTGAAGCAATTCTTAGCACTACACACGTTCGAAAACTACAATTCAACACACATTCTTACTGATAAACTATATATATACGCTTACATTTAGTTATTCAATGACCCACTCTTCAAATCTACCGATAACATTCACGTCATATAATACTAAAATTATTGGCACATTGTCCATCCCTCCACAGTGTAGTTTGAACTATCAATATAATTCGGAAATAATACTTCACTCTGTATTCCTCCTCTCCTCACACCTCTAACCCATAAAGTTATTGTCATTTAAAAATCATACAGCGTCCAAGCCTTTAAACTATATACATTTCTGATACCTTTTAAAGGATATGAATCCAATATTCAATATTTAAACAATAAAAGAAATTGATATAATTTAGATATAACATTGACTGTTTAATGTGCTTTTCTCTAAATGATAAAAAAATAGGATATTTAGTCTTTCCGAAACGATTGTATTTCTTTTTCCATTTTATCAATTCGTAAACTTAACTTAAACTCAAATACCAAAATTCTTACAAACTCTCACAACAATTTATCTTCATGTGTACTTAACTGATCATTAATTTTGATGACATATATAAGTATCACTCACACCATGGTGTTCCAAACAAATGTCCATGAGAATATTTTGTCTTCAATTTCTACGCCCTATTAAGCAAACCGCCATTTAAAACGCAATGCTGCGCATTCGGAGCGGTCACAAGAAGCGGAATGCTATATAGACCAAAACACTTAACAAGCAAATTGCTTGAAGAATACTGTGTATGAGGACAAATATCCTTAATGCTTAAGACAACTTCACAGATCTCTCGCCTGTCCTCTCTTTCCTCATCTGAATGGTTTTTGAAGAAATAACTTTTCGGTCCGATGCCAAACCCAAGAATGCCATAAAATCTATGAACATTGTGGTGATGTTGAAACGCAGTCCATACTCACTAGTGGCATAGTCCTGTGGAAACACATGATGGTAGTTATGAAATCCCTCCCCAGCAGCACTGAACACCACAGCGAGATTATTAGCTGGGTTTATCGTCTTGTCATAGGGTCTAGAGCCCCACATATGGGCGGCACTGTTCACGAGCCACGTGGCATTTAACACTAAAGTGTAACGAAGGATGGAAGCAAGGTAAAACGAGTTCCACAAAGTCTCCCCCCAGAAGTACCAAGGTACAATAGTCGGCACGATAAAACACATCAACAACACAGACAGCTTATAAAACCTGAAATAGAAAACACATGTAATCAGTTGGCCATTTGATGTCATTTTATCAAAACTGTCAACAACAACAACAAAAGTATTATCAGAATTTTATGCGTACATTCGTTAACCCAAACGAAACCAGATTGAGAATGGAATTGAGTAAAGGTGGGATACGTAGTATTCAATAGCGACCAAATACTTGAAGTATCAGTTGCTCAATGCAATACTAATAATCAGTTATGATTTCGTATAAAAAATACCAAGAAAATACTAACACGTCAACATTATTATAATCCAAACTCAAATACCATAAAACCTGGGCAAAATATGTACAAAAAGAATGAATTCTGCGAGTTTGATACAGCATGTTTTTTTTGTAAATAACAACTGTTTGTTGACAGCATTAGCATTTAATAAACTGTTAGATACGTGTATTGGGGGAAATATATCTTTTTATAATTCTCAAAAAATTATAATACTTAGACATAGCTCGTAAGAAGTCGGTTTCTAATTACGGCTTCTTCTGCATGTACTATAAAGTAGTCAAGTGTAATTTATTTGTTTATTTATTTAATTACTGACAATAACGTGTAATCAATTAACTTAATATTTATTTATCTATTTATTTACTAAATGAAGTAAAGTAAAGGCACCTTTTTTGTATCATCACGACTGGGTCTTCGTACAAGTCTTTAAGGCTGATTTGTTTGCCCTTGGCGATGACTTTCGGGTGTTTCTTGACCAGCAGCCATCCAATGTGAGCGAAGAAAAATCCACGTGTAGCGTTATGAGGATCAGCATCCGTCTCTGAAAATTTGTGGTGGACTCTGTGATCTCGTACCCAGTCGAAAATGTCATTCTGGAATGAAATGTATACAGGTCTCAGTATGAATCATTCACCTCGATGGTCATCGACAACTTCAATAAACTGCATCAATACTAAATGATTAAAGCACGACTTCTGAAATTGTTTCTGTTACAATCAGACAAACAAGGATAAAATACCAGAACTCTTAGCCCTGTTACCAATTGCAGTTCAAATGTACAGTATTTTTTATTTTTGCCTTTGAAACATAAACAAACACATCAAAGACAACACCAATCATTTTAAAAGAATCTTACTACAAACTCAAATTCGATGAAAATATGGTAAAATATGATCAAAAGAAAAAAAATACACGGAATAACACCAGGTGCTCAGGAAGAGTAAGCGTCATCTGCTTCGTCGACGTCACCCGAAATATCATTTATGTCATGTTCTCAAATGAGAACAAGGTATTCAGAAATGAAACTGCCAGGCAAACCAAGGAGTATCAAATACGCCCGATTTCATATCGCAAAATGAAATAGAACACACCACTATGAGATCACTATGACTACCGTGAAACTTCCCCATAATCTGAATAATGTGTTTAGGCTTTGAACCTAATATCTCTTATACGTCTTACTATATATTGTTGCCTGATGGTAATACAGGTTTCCATAAAAATTAATAGTTGTCTAAATCCAAGCTGGTAATCCCTCTTAACAAACATATTTTTCATATTGATTTGATATCAAGTACAGACATTGAGCCGTCACTTCAAATGTTGATCCAGTTACAATTATATGTAACACAGCAGCACCCAGCTTTGTCAGGATCGAAATAACTCGAATGCCGTACAGTGTTATGGAATACGCAAATGTATTGCTTTCATCATATAGGGGATGCAGATATCTGATGCAGATAACCTCACTCTGTAGCAAATCAATACTTGCACAAGTGCACATCCACTCAAGTGGATGTTATACGCTAAAGAACGCTGTCTACAGACGAAATTTGTTACCACGACAAATAACAAACACACATCGGAATATACCTGTTTTATAAACGATGAATTTTAGAAATGTAATATTTAGTGCTATAAGGACTGAGGCGGATATTTTGTATCAATGTTTATTACTATAAGACCACTTGGCAGTGTTGTTTACCTGAAGCGTTGTATATGCTTCCCTTAAATATTGTTTATTTGTGGTGTAACTTATCTACTGTGATATTTAGCTCTAGTGGCTTACCTTTGCGCTGCTTATTATGAATGTTGTTTACCTGCGATGTTGCTTACCTGTGAAATTACTAACCTTCAGTGTTGTTTACATTTGCTATTGCTTACATAAAGTGGTATTTCACTGGGTTTAGGATTACATGTAGTTTGTTTACCTTTGCTTGCTTGGCTTTGCTTACATTCGGCGTGGTGTTCTCACGTGTTTTCGTAAGAGTGAAACTTGTCACAAGATTGTTTACATGCAGCGTTGCTTACCTTCAGTGTTGCTTGCATGTAACGTTGTTTACCTATCGAGGTGCTCATCTGGACAAGTGTTTATCTTAAATAATATTTCCCTATTGTCTTCTTACCTGTAGAGCTGCCGACTGAAAGAAAGCCAATAACACACGGAGTGGTGCTTTAGCCTTGTAAGACCGATGTGACCAGAGTCTGTGGGCGCCAGCTGTCACCCCAACTGCAGCTATCATGTAGTATACTATGGCTGAAATAACAAAAAACACAAATACATTCACATATGTATAATTGCCAACATGTCTGAAAATACCCATGGTGTTGAGAGCATTTGCTAGATATGTCCAAATACTGAATGGTGATTATTAATGATTTTATTTAATGTAGTAAGTGATGTAATTTCTTAAGGATTTTTTAGTGAAAAATGCTAAAAGGTCTCGAAAAGAGGTAAGTGCACTACAGGAAAGATGCTGGAAGAATAAATTACTGTAGCATAAGAAACACGTACTAAAGTGTCAAAAAGTCACCAAAAAGACGGTGATAATACAATTAATATTCAATAAAGTCACCGTAAAGACATACATCAACAACACCTTATTAGAGATACTAGAGCCCGATAGTATATCAAACTGTATAATGTAGCTGTTTCGTCCTTTTAGGACTCGTCAGCGATGTCAATGCCTGAAAATTTGAAACCAATGAGGCGACCAAATGATAATCAAAATGTGTTGAAATGAATGTCATTAGAAACCAGCTGAGCAGATGCATTAAAACCTTGCATCCCGTAAATTTCGTAATTTTCATCATTGAATGATTTCAAACGAAGGCTAAGTACATGTTTATACTCCGATGAAACATGTCACCGATACTATGACGTCAAACCAAAGACGCTAAACAAAAATATTATTGAAGGATCATTTTGTATTTAGCTGTGATTAGAGGTGTTTGGTAGGGGAGGGAGGTATGCATTTTCCAATTCTTACGACACCTAAATTGCGAAACGGTCCCATAAGTATATCTTTTGGCATCGCTAGTACTGATATCACTTCACAAAACGGTTTTCATCTGCTGGTGCACAAGATGGCGTCGAAATAACTTTAGAGTTCTAAAATAAATTTGTAAAGTTGTAAAGATACGGTTTATATAGTTTTCAGAGAATCATGCTCTTTTCCTCTATAACTGTAGTTACATATTTCCGAAAGCTGCAGATCTTGTCGTTTATTTATTTTGCATACAGCCTGTATACTACCAATAACAAAATCTTAAAATGACTCGTGTTTCCATTCATATGTAGCAAAACCCAATGCATAACGATCGGGTATTCTTTAGATTAAATTATGAAGAGAAGGTATTTTGATATAAAAAGTCTGAAAGGCAGAGGAACTTTAAGACATACACAAAATACTGTAAAATACTACATTATCGTGGGGCTCAAAATTTCATGGTTTTCCAAAAATACACATTTTCCTTGACACGTGGCTTCCTTGATATATATAAATCTTTATCACAAAATTCGCTAGTGCTATAATCAATGTAAACTTTTATCTGTCTATCATTACGTGGAATTATAAATTCGTGGATTTAGCAGACCAAAGAATTGAACGAAAATATATCCGCAATGAAATGTTAATTTTACAGTATAAGGTCGATCTCGAAAAAGAATGAAATAACGTCAACCGTGTTTTCTTGCTGATAACTAAATTACATGAATCAAAATCTTAACTTTTTTCTCTCATTTCATTTCCATTAACATTAAAAATAGATTTTCTAATAAAACCTGCACTTTAAAGAAAAATCCCTTTGCCGTTCATTACCAGTTTTGTGTGGCTGTGTACAAGGTAAAATCTGAATGGGTTATTGAAAAGCAACTATTTAAAACATGACCTATGGAGGTGTTCAGTGAGCTGTTTAGCAAACTGTATGTATCTGCCATAGCCTCAAGTCGTTAAAATTAGCTAAAGTTGTTTCCTTAGAATCGATCATACACAGATGATATTGCTGACGTCACACACGCACGAACGTGACTTGTATGACGTCTTTCCTCTAGAGTCAAATTAATCGTAATTTGTTGGAAATCCTGAGCCCATGATGAGATCGAAATTGTCCAAAATAGAGACTGCTGATTCTAGGCTGTGACAAACCGGACAGTCCAAGGTTGTGTGTGGGAGGATGTAATGTAATAGTAACTCCAAATTAGCCAAGTTAATATAAATCGTGAGCATACCAAAGCCCAAAAAAAGCGCTCAAGTCTACTGAGTTAACACTGGTTTTATAGAGACAATGTAAAAACGGATCAATACACATGAAAAGACGTAGCAAAATGACAGTGGACAGAATAGTAAAAAGATGCCTTCTGTACGGACAGGTTGTATATGATCGACATAAAAAGTGATATTTTGTTCTTTCCAATGACTCTACCCCCCCCCCCCCCCCCCACACACACACACCCTTCCCCCCTTCCCATCCACCGCTCCTTTCCTTTCCCAATAAAAACACGTTTGCTTGGATGTAGAAGGTTTGTTCTTGATATTATCATGTTGAAAAAATCTGCAACGATGCAGAACTAGTCGGCCTTAACAACCATGCAGTGGAATAAAGCAGCACGTGACAAGATTTATTTTTTTAACTTACACCATGCCCACGTGAGAGGTTTTGATCGAGGAATCAACGTCAAGGAATACAAAGCTGCTAGATGAAGTATTGTAAATATCACAACATTTCTCCAGACGATTTTCGATGGCGGATTGTCCTCGTTCACTTCTTCAGGTTTCACTACATCATCAAGGCCAAGCTGATCCACGTCCTCTTTGCACGTGGATTCACTTTCTGATTCCAGATTTCTTGACGCCATGGCAATCTTCTACGGTAATTTACTGTAAGTACAAAGATAAAGTTCAGCGCTTAGCAAAGATCTAGTTAGGCAATTAGTATACACAGCTTACAATCGATGAAAGAAGCCATTTCCACCATACGGAAATCATTGTGTCTTACTCAAAACCATTGGCCTGTCTTACATATTGATGAAGTGTCGTCTGCCTAAGGCCTGCAGCCAAAATAGTAATCTTATTTTGTCATAGAAACTGATGTAGAATACTCCCTAGCATGCTTTTTTTTGTTCCATTGCCAATCCTCTTCTCTGAATCGGCAATACATACAAATACCAAAAACATAAAACTATCAATTGTTTTGTATCCGGAAACATTGAATCCGAGCATCAAATAGCTGGTTATGTGGATGAAATATAGCACTTTGTAAATGGTTTTCCGCATAATAGATGTTCATCCTTTGTCATGGTACATCAGGGTGTCTGGCCGCCACAAGGTCGATCACAGAACGTCGGTGTCATTTTCCAGAACAGAGTAACAGTTTTAACGAAGTACTTGGCGTAACCATAAACAAGGAAATCGATTTTAACACTAAACAAATAACCTGAATTATAATCAAGATCAGAAAAAATGACATACACCAAATATGGTAATGTCCACTTGTCCTCTGGCGAATTGTCTGTGTTGTCCAGCAATACAATCCTGTTGATCATGTGATGTAATGCTAGCACAGCAATACAATTATAGATGTATCAATTTCGGCATTTCACATGTAATAATATTACGTGAGGGAATTGCGAACTGAAGGATAGGCCGAATGGTAATCGAATTCGTGATCTCGTGATTCACGTATTTTAAGTCATTAGTCTCATTTGTGGTAAATAGTACAGATACCATATTACGATCCTTAATCAATAACGTACTTCAACGTGTTTTATTGCAGTCTGTCTTCTTTACATGCAAGTAAAGCCTGTAATTCTCCTGTTGCCATGGAAACGAAATTTCTGTGTGTCTGGCTCTGTTAGGATGTTTTTACAATTGGTCTGAGGTTGTTTCTGAGATAGTTAAACATTTTAAACCGTTCTCAATCAGCTGTAGGAGATGGCACACCGGAAACTCCTTTAACGAACGTGTAATAATTGATATCTCGTGTGTTTTAGCATTTTATCATTCAGACAGACCATGAAATGTATTGATCATACGCAGATGTGATGACAAATTGCAGTGTAGTTGCAGTGATTGGTTTCAGGTTATTTCATTTCCGCCATTTGGACATGTTGGACGTCGACATCTTATTCAGAATATGTTTAGTGAATTGGCAGGAAATTGTTAAATCGTTCCAAAAGCAATAGACAAAAATGAAATAATAATAAAAGGAGGTTATGTTAAGCAGATCGAATTAATGATACATTCTATCTTTATGTGACGTGAAGTTTCTATTTGGCAACAGAACTTCGTGATAGAAACACATGATACATCCGTGACAAATGATTGTTTGGTGTGGACTAATTGGATGAAAAAAATGATTAAATGGTGATAATTCTTGTGTAACGAAAGACGCCATGTTTGTTCCGGGGACTTCCTAGAGACCTTTCCCACCAGTCTGTCTTAACAGGAACTATCGAATGTATGTTTACTATGTTTGATGTTGGGGTAAAATGAAACTTACTTTTCTTAAGTCACATAATTCAATATGCGTTTGTTATGCCTCAGCCTAGGAGGGATCTTTGCAGTAAAAACTAGGTTACTTCGAATTATTCTCTCTTTCTATCGAATTTTGATATCGGACAGACGTCTAACTTATCTCGTGCTAAACCCAAATTCTTGATCTTCTTCGGCAGATTTACATAAACAACCTATTATTATAGGTAAGTAGAATTTACACAAATCGAATCTGTATGGATCTCTACTGGCACGTGAAAAAAGTCGAAATGTCATCTCTAAAGGTTTCATCTATCTAAAAATTGCGGGTACTAATAGTGATAACATTTATTATCAAAAGTTGAAATATAATGAATTGTCAAAGCACAAATGGATTGGTCAGAAGGATAATTTGAAACTTAAAGATACGATCTTTAAATCAACATGAAATCTCATAAGGAATTTTAGATAGCTTTTAGGTAGATACCTGATGACGTAAACACAGTTTTATTTTAACGAAATTCAATTAAAAAATTCGCAAATTTATAAATCGATATGACAAGTTTGATACGGTATCTCATTCAAAGTACATACGTGTATTTCATCTCAAATATCATTTTTACGTTTAAGTTTGTGTGTACCCTTTATTTATTTATTTATCTATTTATTTAGGTATTTATTTTTTAAATGCTTTATTTCTTCCCAAAGAAATCTGAATTACCGTTTCTTCCGAGGTTCTTTGCTATATAAATTTGCATGTATTAGGGATAAACTCATAAAACCTTCGATTTCATGGTCATATCCGTTTAGATGTAAACATACATATATAAACTATATCAGAAGTATGGCTTTAATAAACAGATGACACGAAGGATTGAACAGAAATATTTACAGATACCGCCCATCACACAAGCATCAGGAACATGATTGCATACTACACCAGCAGCATTCGATGTCGATTTCACGATGACGTCGCCCTAATATATTTAGAATGACGACACTGATTTCCTTGTTCTATTCTACTTACCTTATATTTAAACAATATGACATCCCGTTGGATGAAACCATATGCCCATACACATGTCTTTGTAATGTCTTGAGTGTAGGAAACCCTGTGCTTCGGCAGACCTAAACTTGTTAGTCCTTGCCACGCATTTGTATATGACACATAGTATTAGGCACAAGGAAACACGAACACGCTTCAGACACACGTGTCGATATGGGGATGCTGTTACCGCCTATCTCCTTATATGGAATGGTCATTTTGTGAGAAGGATGAGCTGTGGTTTAATTTTGAAAATTATTCACACGAAATGATTTGAAGTTGATTATTCCGTAGAATTATTTTAGTCTCGAGCATTAGTATGTTTTTTTTCTTTCCATTTTCGGAAAGAAGGTAACGGTTTCCGTTTTGCTTATTACACAGTCAATGTTACGAACTATTAACTATGAAACGATCCCAGTATGTATAAAAAGCACCACATGAAATGAAATGGTCTTATTTATGAATAAATGGGCATAGTATATAACAAAATGGGCATCATATAATCAATCTGATGAAATTGACATCATATACAATGAAATGGGTATCATATATGATGAAACGTGTATCATATAACTAGGACGATGAAATGGACATCTTATATAATGAAACGTGCATCATATGATAAAGATGTTGAAATGGACATCATAAACAATGAAACGTGCATCATATTATCAAGATGATGAAATGGACAACATAAACAATGAAATGAGCATCATATCTAATGAAACGGGCATCATATGATCATGATGATGAAATGGACATCATATAATCAAGATGGTGAAAAGGACATCACATAAAATGAAATGGACATCATATGATAAAAATGATGAAATGGACATCATAAACAATGAAATGGGCATCATATGATAAAGATGATGAAATGGACATCATATTATCAAGATGATCAAATGGACATCACATAAAATGAAATGGACATCATATGATAAAGATAATGAAATGGACATCATAAACAATGAAATGGGCATCATATCTAATGAAACGGGCATCATTTGATAAAGATGATGAAATTGTCATCATATTATCAAGATGATCAAATGGACATCACATAAAATGAAATGGACATCATATGATAAAGATAATGAAATGGACATCATAAACAATGAAATGGGCATCATATCTAATGAAACGGGCATCATTTGATAAAGATGATGAAATGGTCATCATATTATCAAGATGATCAAATGGACATCACATATAATGAAATGGACATCATATAATCAATATGAAATGGACATCATATAATCAAGATGATAAAATGGACATCATAAACAATGAAATTGGCATCATACATAATGAAACGGGCATTATATATAATGAAGCAGGCATCATATGATAAAGATGATTATCAAACGGACATCATATAACCAAGATGATGAAATGAATACCATAACCAATGAAACGGGCATCACATGATAAAGATGATGAAATGGGCATCATATTATCAAGATGATAAAATGGACATCACATATAATGAAATGGACATCATATCATCAAGACGATAAAAATGACATCATATAATCAAAATGATAAGATGGACATCACATTTAATGAAATGGACATCATATGATAAAAATGATGAAATGGACATCATATAATCAAGATGTTGAAATGGACATCATAAACAATGAAATGGGTATCATATGATCAGGATGATGAAATGTACATCTTATATAATGAAGCGGGCATCATATACTCAAGATGATGAAATGGACATCATATACAATGAAATGTGCATCATTTATAATGAAACGGGCATCATTTAATCATAATGATGAATGGCCATCACACACGATGAAATACATGATCACATATGACAAAATGATATCCTGATCAAGAGAAGCCCCGGGTATGATAAATACTATATATATATACTGAACGACAGAGTGGCCATTTTCATATGATGAAATATCCACCAGTAGCCCCGAGTAATAAGTTCACCACAACGTATTTATATCTCATAAATGCATCCATTTTAAACAACATTTTAATCCTTCGTTCAGAAAGTTCAATGATCCGATGAATTAAAATTGTCTAATTGTCGCATTGAAATAACTATACTTGCTTCTAAACGCAAAAATGAAAGATAAACAATAATATAGAGACTAGCTTCCCTAATTTGATTCGACCTTCCATGACCTTGATATCTATTCCGACCCAGTGCCATTTTATTTACAAGAAGTACAACGATCGATAATATACACTACGCTGATTTACATGGATCTATTTATACTTGTATATGCGTTTTAACTTGCGCTGTCGGACTAGCATTCACTTGTAGTGCGATTCAAGAAAGTCCGTTTATAAATAGAAATGATAATAAATGACGTCATCATTGACTGGAAATTTCAAAAACATCATGTGCAATGAATTACAAGTTTTTATCTCTAAATATAGTTCTGCAGCACATAATTTGTAGAAATATTTCATTGCGTGTTATAAATCTGATGAAACTGGTCTAGGAGGCAAAAGCGTTGACTATCAAAAGAGTTTATCTAAAATGAATGATGGCAAAGCCATGTTGAGCCAATCCTATTTAAAATGCAGGTCGTAATTCTCGCTCCGATATTCTCCTCATTTGGATCTGACATCATCCCATAAAAAGTCCTTTGCTGGTGACCTTTGCGTCCTTGGTACTTCACAAAAGGCGAATGGACTTTATGACAATTTAATCTTTAGCAAGGCATTTTACCACATTTGAATTGATCTAATGAAAATTCAGATATGTTGTGATGAAATGACTTAATACTTAAATAATTTCTGTCCCGAGCCAAAATGCAGCTACTGACCATGGTATCTATTTATCCTGCAACACTGATTGAAAATCAGACCATCAAAACTTCAACGGTTTTGTTATCCAATCTCTGTTTACCTGACGTTGACGTTAAGCTTGATTTTTTCCGGATGGCGTACGCCAAAATAATTGCTCCGCGCAGAAAAATAGTGCCGAACATCAACGGATGTAAGAGCTATTTTATTAATTTCCGTAAATTCACTTGTTCATAACAACACATAAAGTCGCTTATTTCAAGTTATTTTTATTGTTAGACGTAATTTTAAAGTAAATTCTGAAAGTACTTCAGTCGAACTAACGCACGTGCTGAACACAGAAAATATGTATGTAGCAAGTGTATTCCGACAATAGCAGTGCCAGTTGCAGAAGACATGTATTAAAATGGTCACTGATATTGTAAAGATGGTAACTACGCTGATTTTCAATAGTATGTAAATACAAAAATAAGAAAATAAGAAGCTCTACTGTTTCCGATAGCGTGTGAATTCCATAAATCATTGCTGATGTTTTTACTAGGAACATATTTTGAAACTTGCTTTCTTCCCATAAATGTCGTATGTGATCGGAGTCCTTGGAATTTAAATAGTTGATTTTTGCTTCAATAAGTTCTCATAAAAAATAAAATTGAATAATAGAAAACCTAATTCAGTTTTAAAAAAAACATTCCAGAATCTGACGACACCCAATACTAATGATGTTTTGTCAGAATCCGTCTTTTTAAGAATACTAGTATTTCGTATAGTACAATCACATTCGCGCAACCTGCATATTTCAGACGTAGTAACAATACAAATAACAGATGTTGCAACCTACAACATTTTAAACTTTCTACAGTCAGTATATGAATCAGCATTTATCTAGGATAATATCAAAATACATTAGAATATGTTTTTTTTTGTATTCCCGTATAAATCAAGTACAGAGGCTTTGCACAAAAGTACCAATCCCAATGATCCCTATAAACATTTACAGATATAACTACAGACAGTGGGATGGGATGTTCTTCCAATCCTCTGTGTAATAAATTGACTGTAATATTTATCAACATTTACTATTCTCTGTACTCTATACATTGTACCATTACAAGTACAACACTTAACAGCACATGATACAGCCCTTTAATCGTAAAACTCAAATTTAGATAATAATGATATTTTTTTGTTTATATCATTTTAACAATACTCACCTTTTAAAAAAACACACGAAGAAACAACGGTATATTGAGTGATCATAACTCAATAATTTACATAGATTTTTCAGATACTACAAAAAGAAAACAGGATTGCTTACCTTGGTGTGAATTTCTTGAGTATTGTATAAATAATTTGTCGAGAACGTAGCGGATGCAGATAGTAAGAATACCACCACGTGTCCTTGTTTATTACAAGTGGGGTGACCGAGAACAGCACCGCGTGTTTGTGAATCAGATGATGTGACCAGCCTTATTTGCATATTAAGTCAACCAATCAGAATGCAAGGAATATTTCGTCAGTCTTCATTTCTACTTTCGTTACTGTTCATCTAATATTAGATTATTGCCTTTTGTCGGAAACTTTCAGATCCGCAGACAAACTGTCTGGATTATGAATTAATGTGCAGAAACATCGACAGGACGCATCGAAGACTCTATGAACTAAATTTCTAAACATATCCTTTTTCGCTATGCTTTTTAGTATTGGTTTAGGTACAGGTGTACCCCCTCTGCTACTACCGGATTTGATTAAGCCTAGCTTCCCTAAATATTTTCACATTTTGGCCGGCTCAACACCAACAACGAAGATGTTTAAAATAAAAACACCGAACCAGCTCTATTGAAAAAATTACATTGTCCTGAATTTATGCTCAAATGTATTATTCTTATCGTGTCGTGGCTTAGTGTTTAACGTTTTCATTTGACCTCTCTCTCTGTCTCTGTCTCTGTCTCTGTCTCTCTGTCTCTCTCTCTCTCTCTGTCTCTCTCTCTGTCTCTGTCTCTCTCTCTCTGTCTCTCTCTCTGTCTCTCTCTCTGTCTCTGTCTCTCTCTGTCTCTGTCTGTCTCTCTCTCTCTCTCTCTCTCTCTCTCTCTCTCTCTCTCTCTCTCTCTCTCTCTCTCTCTCTCTCTCTCTCTCTCTGTCTCTGTCTCTGTCTCTGTCTCTGTCTCTCTCTCTCTCTCTCTCCCCACCCCCCCCCCCCCCCGACATAAAATTCTAACTACTATTTCATTGTATTGTAAATTTCTATATAGATGAAAGGTGACTTTATTTACAAAATCAGGACACATATTTGACACTGTATTATTTAATCACCGATTTTGTTTATCGGTAAAGGAATTTCCCGGATTCCGATGAGCTGTAAACAAAATAGATAATGATTACTTATCTTTCTGACTAATAACATGTTGATTTAATTCGCAGTATAAACTAGATATAATATATGTGGCATACATCATGTACAATTTACGGTGACCTGGTGTGACATCAGACAGTGCACAAAGCCACCTCTGTCAACAGTTAACTTGAATATTTCCAAATGGGCAGATTTAATATATTTCTGTTAGTGTCACGGTCAATACAAGTATTAAGAATAAATCACGGATATATCAATAGGTAGGTAACGAGAAATTTTTGGACTACTAATATGCCGGGATGTCTCTGGTACTGTCATATTTCATATGTCAAGTTGCGTAGATAAAACAATTGCCTAACCTAAACATGTTTAAAAGGTCGCTAAATACCATTTAGTGACACTAGGGATTCAATGTTCAACTAAATGTAAGCAATTTATTTAAACGGTTATTTATATTTAGTGGAATCATTCGAATAACGTGGAACATACATGCTGATTTTAACTTCAAGAAATACCATGCTCAGATGTTGTGTGATCCCCGTTTTCTATTTGTATTTAACGGGTTTTTTTAAAATATCAAAGCATATGGTGGAGGGGGGGGGGGGCGGATAGGGTTCATACAAAAGTTGAATATTTATTATTGCAACATAAAAAGGAGAAGATGCTTATATTGTTAAAATTTAAAAAAAAAAAAAAAACACACACACATAATCCTACATGTCAGTTTTGGACAACACCGTGGTCACTTTACATTCAACTAAATAGATAGATAGATGAATTTGAGTTGCCTTTTAAGTTCAACATTTTCGTCAGGGACGTCCTAATGCGTTTGCATTACAGAGTAGGTTTGGCAAGTTAAAACAACAACGAAAGAAATGAGTCAGTGCATTCAAGTCTCGCGTACTACGTGATAAAAACTTCAAGTAGTGATCAGATGTCACTAGGGATTTCACAGTCATTTCTCGTTAGGTACATATGTCCTCAAGTGCTCAATACAAAACATATTTCATCTAGCACGTCGCTTAAATTTGTCACTGACTTCTAAAATTAGAGTTGCGTAGTTACTTGGAAATCTTACAGGACTTTGGCCATAATGACCGAGGTTTGAGTCAGGAAATTAGGACACGGGGCTTGGCACTAATTCTCAACCCACAGTTCATAAACATGTATTATTAGCATGCATCAATATGGAACTTTAGTTAAGAATTCGGGCCAAGTCCGTGTGCAATCGGACATGGAAAAGATTGTTCAACTTTGAAGTGTTGCATTGGAATTCAAATAGACTTAATCAGAATTGATGTTTGAATCCCTGACTTAAATGAAACAACAATTACGTCACACAGTGGTTGTGATGTGTGTCATATTTAATAAAAACCTATTTACCCACTTATAGATTAATGGACTCTTTATCAGTCAAATCTGAGTAATCAGCCATGAATCAGGACATATATTGGAACGGTTCCCAGGAAAGTTGATGTTCTGGTCTTTCAATGTTATCAATTTAGGTACAAATACACAACAGTGTGAAGCCTATCATTTCTACGTCGTGTTCAAAGTCCAACATGCATCATTTTAAAGGAAAATCCAAACACGTGTTTAGGGTGTATGTAAATGATATTAGAAGGGAGCCTACTCGCGCCGGAATTCTTGTCAAAACTTCAGATATCGGTCAACGTCGAGAAGAAATGTATAGGAAACATGCATTTAATACAAAGTGTTAGACAATGAAGTATGTATAATTTCCTATTCTTAAATTTGAACTAATTGTGTTGAACTTATAGATTTCAGCTAGACGTGTCATACAATTGTGTTGCTGTCATTCAAATGCATTTTTTTGGCATTTGACCAATACAGGGTAGACTTGGTTACAAGTATGCTGGCCATTCAATACCATTTTAAAGCACGGAAATTTTATGATTATCATCTATAAAACATACATTCCGCATAGAGAATATTTTGCAAATTACGTTGAAATTCCAATATACAGTACATACAGATACACAGGCCACAACATTGCATAAGGAGCAGGGGTTAGGATGGAGCGGGGGAGGGGGCGACATGAGGATGTCTTTATTTCTGCTCCTCAAAAATAATTTCATTCATTCAGATAGATATATAGAACAGAAGTTCTTAGAACACATCATTAAAATATTTCAGTGTGATGTAACATCTTGTGTATTTTTTCTACAGCTTTGTAACCATCACGTCACACTTTTTTCTACTTAGCCGTATATCACATTACAGTACAACGGAAAAAAAAATCGATCGTTTTGATTCCTTAACATCTCTTAACGTACGTCAGTGAGAGTGCGCCTCACACTGGTCATTTGTCTGATGGAGTTGACCTTTTAGTCTTGGAAACGTCACACTGAAATTTTCTACTGATTGTGTTTATAAGAGCATCTATTCTATTGAAATTACCAACATGAAGAAAATGTTGTTTTTTCAAGAGAGGCATATTTTATTGCACATTATAAGCTCTTCGACCAGCTTCATTGGACAATTGTTAGTGGTCTTTAAATGTCATTCACACGTTGTTTACGAATACATTTCTGATATTGTTGACAAAATTGTGAAACTAAAACTGCCAGTCAAACTCAAAGTTGGCAAGGACGCTTGTACTTCATTTGATCCCAGATTTTTTATCATCCTATTTCTTATGATAAAATGATAGAAATTTTCATAATTTTTGTACTATACTTCTCTTTTCTATGATACAAATGATGATTTTTTTATCTGTTCAGCATATAAAAGTTTACCACGATACAAGATGATATGATTTTTTTTCAGCCTGCTGTCGATCACACTACTGTATCTTTCTAAGGCTATACAAGCTCTCTGTTCTCTGCAAATGAACAATAATACTATTCAATAGATTTCGAAGTAAAATGTTTAAGTCGTATGATTTTATAAATATGTCATGCTACATTGGTTTCGACTTCCATGTGTCTAAATAGTGTTAATCTGATTGAAACATTACCAGGTAAGGTTATATTACAATGCCGTGTTTAAAGTTAATGACTTTTTTTATTCTTTCGTTATCAGAATGAAAATACAATGTAAATGTATACATTTAATAAGATATAAACATCTACTTACAAGACCTGTACATCACATGTTACATTAAGTTCCACGGTCTGTGGATTATATCTAGTCAATATTGTTTTTCAGGGAACCATAGAAGACATCATTATGTCTTTCTAACAACAATTATGCTACATCACGGCAGTTAACACAACCATTATTAAGCTATATTTTCATTGAATCTCTAAAATGATTGGTTAGAAACATTAAAATATCAAAACTTGTTATTCTGTATTAAATTCATTGCAAAGTCTTCAATGTCTCAACAGAAAATGTGATAAAGACTATTTTTCCCTGTAATGTGCTAAAGACAATCAAGTAAATTTTCAAAGGAAGTGCTTCCATGAAAGTGATTATCGGGTCCTGAACTCAAAGGTCAAGATCACTGGTACTAGAAATAAAAATCATCTGTTAGGATGATTTCGTTCAGACTTTCTGAGGTGCTTTTTCACAGGAAGTCCCAGCTTTTCAGTTGCATTTCATGTTCATAGTTCAAAGGTCAAGGTCTTCACTACAACAAATAGAAATAGGAATATACAGCAAAAATAGTTTTCTCAGGCAAAACCTTACTTATTATCTCAGACAAAATCTGACCTGTTATCCCAGCCAAAACATGACCTATTATCTTGGTCAAAACCTGACGTATTATCTCAGCCAAACCCTGACCTATCATCTTAGCCAATACCTGCCCTATTTTTTCAGCCAGAACCTGACATATTATCTTGGTCAAAACCTGACCTATTATCTCAACCAAAACCTAACCTGTTATCTCAGACAAAACCTGACCTGTTATCTCTGACAAAACCTGACCTGTTGTCTCAACAAAAACCTGACCTATTATCTCAGACATAACCTGACCTATTATCTCGACCAAAACCTGACCTGTTATCTCAGACAAAACCTGACCTGTTATCTCAACCAAAACCTGGCCTGTTATCTCAACAAAAACCTGACCTATTATCTCAGACAAAACCTGACCTATTATCTCGACCAAAACCTGACCTATCATCTCAGACAAAACCTGACCTATTATCTGAGACAAAACCTGAGCTGTTATCTCAGTCAAAACCTGACCTATCATCTCGACCAAAACCTGACCTGTTATCTCAGCTAAAACCTGACCTGTTATCTCAGACAAAACCTGACCGATCATCCCGACCAAAACTTGACCTGTTGTCTCAACAAAAACCTGACCTATTATCTCGACCAAAACCTGACCTGTTATCTCAGACAAAACCTGACCTGTTATCTCAACCAAAACCTGACCAGTTATCTCAACAAAAACCTGACCTATTATCTCAGACAAAACCTGACCTATTATCTCGACCAAAATCTGACCTGTTATCTCAGACAAAACCTGACCTGTTATCTCAACCAAAACCTGGCCTGTTATCTCAACAAAAACCTGATCTATTATCTCAGACAAAACCTGACCTATTATCTCGACCAAAACCTGACCTATCATCTCAGACAAAACCTGACCTATTATCTGAGACAAAACCTGAGCTGTTATCTCAGTCAAAACCTGACCTATCATCTCGACCAAAACCTGACCTGTTATCTCAGCTAAAACCTGACCTGTTATCTCAAAAAAAAACCTGACCGATCATCCCGACCAAAACCTGACCTGCTAACTTGGTCAAAATCTGACCTGTTATCTCAGTCAAAACCTGACATATTATCTCAGTCAAAACCTGACCTATTATCTCGACCAAAACCTGACCTAATATCTCAGACAAAATCTGACCTATTATCTCGACCAAAACCTAACCTATCATCTCGACCAAAACCTGACCTGTTATCTCTGACAAAACCTGACCTATCATCACGACCAAAACCTGACCTGTTATCTCAGACAAAATCTGACCTATTATCTCGACCAAAACCTAACCTATCATCTCGACCAAAACCTGACCTGTTATCTCTGACAAAACCTGACCTATTATCACGACTAAAACCTGACCTGTTATCACGACCAAAACCTGACCTATCATCTCGACCAAAACCTGACCTGTTATCTCAGACAAAACCTGACCTGTTATCTCAGACAAAACCTGACCTATTATCACGACCAAAAACAGACCTATTATCACGACCAAAACCTGACCTGTTATATTTTGTGATGATGAATGCAGCAGCTGAATTATATGATAGTGCTAGTGACATAGAGATCTACATGATAGTGTTGGAAACATGACATCTCAATGTTTATAATGCCTTCAGGATTATAAAAGGTCACCTTATAAAAAGTAATCCGGCTTTAGAATTTATCTTTTGTTTTGCCTCTCCTTGTACGTTTCCCAGCATACACAGTAAAAACACCACTTTCGGCACGTACGTGTTCTATATTTAGACACGGTGACTCCGAATGCATGTTTACATGTTGTCATTAGTCATGTATTTTTAGATCGACGAAAAGGCGATAAACGGAAACATGTTCTCCGTCACGATACAACGCCATACCTCTTTGTTTCTGTACCACACGCGATTTTGATAAATGGTTTTCTGTAGCCACGGAACACTGAATATCTTGATGCGTTTTTGCAAAATCATAGTTAATAGAAATGAAGACATCCTGTGCGTAACATCATAGTAATAATATTAATAAGCTTGAAGTCTGATTGCCGAAACACTGAAATTCGTCGGTAATACGATACCTGGCAACGGGAGGAGTCGCGGAGAGGGGGAACCTGTAACTAACTGACTAAATTGCTAAAAACAGTCAGAGTTTTCATCTATAGTTTTAGATATACATTTGTTCAAATTTATCCATAGGTGTATTCGGTTGTAGAAAGATAAGTGATTTGATATCAACATTTTTTATCTGAATTTACAAAATCGGGTATACATCAAACACTATCATTCGATATGCTTCGATTTTTGATAGCTTTCTGAATTTGGCCACAAAAGCTAAACAAATGCCATTTATATATATGTAGTTTATTTGGTACCGCTATGATCCATATATTTTGGCATGCCAGTTGTTAATTATGATTAATTATACTAATTATGATTTTCGATCCGGCTACATTTGTCTAATTTACTCATAAATTGGAGCGTAGATTCAGGCATAGTCAAAAGATCAAACTGTATTTTTTATCAATAATTTGACCATTATTAAGGTAGGACCCAGTCTTACACAATAAAGTGGCGTTTTCCTGATTCAGATTTTGAGGAATTCTTTATATTGCCTATTTTCGCGGTTAATAACATTTTCAAGTTATATTTTTTTCGCGATTTCAATTCATCTCCGAAAATGGAAGAATAAATCTATTATCTCCATAACGAATAGATAATATCTCTGTAATGAATAGATAATATCACCATAATGCATAGATAAAATCTCCATAACGAATAGATAATATTTCTGTAATGAATAGGCTTATCGCCCAGATTAATTAGTCATATCGCCCAAATTTATTGGTGATATTGTTCTAATGAATCTATGATATCGCCCCAATTAATTAGTGATATAGCTCCAATTAATTTGTGATTTCGCCCTAATTAATTGGTGATTTCGTTTTAATTACTGAATGATATCGCCCCAATTAATTAGTGATTTCGCCCTAATTAATTGGTGATATATTTTTAAATGATTTATATAATCCCAAATGATTGGTGATATCGTTCTAATTAATATGTGATATCGCCCCAATTAATTTGAGATATCGCCCTTATCAATTGGTAATATCGCTCTAATTAGTTATATCACCATAACTTCATCATCATTTATTAACTTTAACTTAGTCGTAATATCGCCTAAAAATAAAACGACATCCCATAATTTTTACATGTTACGTATGATCGAATTCAACAACAAAAATAAACATTTTAAGATGTTATTGACCCTAACAAACCAACCTAAATACATGTACTTTATAATACAGCTCACGTTCTGGGTGTGCAAAACATTGTCAACTTAACGATTTTGATTTAAACGATTCCTCGTAACAATATAGAGGTCACACAAGCTCGTGGTTCTTGTTTATGGTTTTATTTCAGTCCAGTAAGTTATTTTTCAAAAGTTACAAAAATACGTGTTTTTTCCCCAAAAGCTCGTGTTTTTTGTAATTTTTGAAAAATAACTTACTCGATTGAAATAAACACAATAAACAAGAACCACGAGCTTGTGCGGCCGGTTTTTTAATAATATCAAACAAACAAAAAAAAGCCTTCTTCACTCGGAAACTATAGACTTTGTTTACGAACTATGGTTGCGTCGCAATAATATGATCTGAGGTAAAATGCCGCTAATTAATATTCAAAAAAGACAATTCCACATGTTGTTTGGAAATATCATAGTTTATTACAACTTATAATAAGAAATGAACAAATATAGTATTTTGGAGTCCATTACACGGTAGAAGTTTGTATAACAATAAGGTCATAACAAGAACAATATAGAACTATTTTATTCCGTGCTTGAATTTCTGTGAAGTGTCCAGCTTATGTTAAACAACACTTGCAATCAAAACTTAATCAAAACATGTGCAACATGTGGTGTAATACAAAATAAACATATTCATATCTCTACATACATATATAAATATTTCACATACATGCACAATTGCTAACAATTAATAAATGAAACACTTTTATATTATCAATCACAATTGAAACATCCTTATCTGTCACTACCCACAATGCTATCGTGAACACCTGTTATATAATATCGAAACATCGTTGTAATTCGAACTCAAACCCACTGTTTTCAATACTTAAAAGTCCCATTACGAAGTTTTAAAAGCTACAGGATTGAAATAATAAAAAATAAACATGTAATGCCTTTGCAGATAATTAAGAAAATGTTGTGAAAACTAGCATTCAAAGCTGAATGAAGATGACCAAGATTTGATAATGTCAGTTTTACCTGAAAACACGTATATTATGTCATTAGAACCGTCACGTTATAGAATATTTCCATTCATTGGCTTGAAATACGATATCAGTAAAATCCACACGAAGACATAAAACTAACGATGCGAATCCATTGGTTATAAGATTACTAAAACTATGCCAAATCTTTTCATCATAGTGCATTGTACCGTAAACTGCAAGTCATTAAATGTCGGGAGGTTGCACAGTATTTCAAAGATCTTTACAATAAAATATGTACCAGTTGTAAATGATATGTTTACAATTGTTTCACAGTTTTTAATGACGTTATCATCGTATTACAGTGTGCATAGAACTGGAGAGAATGCCGGGAATACGTGCAGATGATACCATACTACACTTTTAATCATCTTCAAACTCAAAATTAAAAAAAAAAAACATCATAATGCTTTAACGATAGGTATTTGTGTTAAGCGTTATTAGAAAAGTATTCTATGCAGTATATAATGATGACGGAGACACATATCTTACAAATGGTAATACCATTTCTTATGGGATAGAGCTTCGTGAAAGGGCACTTTGCGATCATGTATAACACAACTATCACGTCAGCGATAACACCAGAAAAGTATGTTATGATAAAAGCATTACAGTGCTCATAATACGTCTACTAGGAAGGCAATACACATTGTGGTTTAAAATTATGATATATCATATTTCTAAGTAGGTAAACATGCATATCTATCGGTTTTATCAAACGATACAAAAAGCTTAAGAAATGAAATAGCTTGGATTCCCGACAAAATGTGTGAGATTATGTAAGTGGTGTTGGCTATTGTTTGTTTATTTTTTCAGAGTTTCACTGAAGACTTTCCAATAACTACAGTTAACACAACTTACTAGGACCTCTCCCAACATCACAATAAACAATAACTACAGATAACACAACTTACTAGGACCTCTCCCAACATTACAATACACAATAACTTCAGATACCACAAGTTACTAGGCCCTCTCCTAACATTATAATGCACAATAACTACAGATAACACAAATTACTTGGCCTTCTCCCAACATTACAATACACAATAATTACAGATAACTCAACTTACAAAGCCTTCTCCCAACAAATAATGCACAATAACTCCAGGTAACACAACTTACTAGGCCTTCTCCCAACATTATGATGCAAAATAACTACAGACAGCACAACTTACTAGGCCCTCTCCCAACATACAACTTACTTTCCATAAATGACAGATTGTTGATGGTTAGTCAGATAACTGGATAATCATGGCAATAGATTTACCTACAATGCAGGAATGTTATTCCTTATCAACTTCAGAGTCAATCTTATGAAAAAGGACAATTAGTTGACATGGGAGAAACCAGGACTGTCCATTGTTTTGGAAACATTCTAATGAGGACATGATTCTGTAATACCTTAAGTAAAGGTAAAACATGGCTATTATTGATGCAGCTGGAAAAGAACATTCAGTGATAGAACAATAGAATAACATCGATAAAGGTAAAGAATATGCTTTTCCCAATATCAAGACAAAACATAAAAAAGTCATTTTCTCTCATAACAATATCATAGCACATTTCATCAGAAAATTCCAGTAAATTTACATTAGTATTGAGCTTTTTCTATGCAATACTTTCAGAAAACAAGAATACATAATTGATAGGGGAATGTAATTTATGAAGATTTGGACGAAATCTTATAAGCATTTTCTATCAGATTCGAGGATAAGATTTCCTGGATCTGCTCGAGCGTACCAAACACATACACCTTTGATTGTTCGTTTCATATTAGAAACCTTATTTCTAGACTTGTATAATTGTTTTTCCAATCAATAAGGTCTCAGGTATTGAGAACCATTTTCCTATGTCTTTCAGGAATTAGACACTGCTCACGTAAACTTAGTCTTACCATGGCTTATCAGACAGACGAATACTTACTTCATAATTTGGTATACAGACCTCTTGAAACCTCTAGATATGTACTTTAAAGATTTCGTTGGTCGATTCAATGGACGGAGCAAACAGAATGATTTCAAGACAGTTCACATTACCAATTCAGTTATCAAAATGACACAAAACATTCACGTCTATAATTCCAAACATGTCTTTTATGTACACCACTGTAAGAGAATGCTTTACACATATGTGTTGCTTTATGATAGTTTGTCGTGCTTTCCACTCCAACCATACCACCGTCACAACATTTAATATGGTTAGAAATAAAGATAGGGTCTAGTTTTTTGTCTGAGGTAAGTATAACAGGAGTAGGTTCTAAAACTGTGTTATAATTTAGACGAGTGAGTTCAGCGCTATATTCACATACTGACACCAAAATCCAATCTAAAAGACCACATAAATTATTACAAGAGTAAACGGTTGGCAAAACACGCTGAGCACAATACCTTTATTATGTCATTGTATCCCCGCCCAAATACATTCGGTAGTCTCAAACTCGCGCTTTCTTCCTTCAGTGGGCATTTGTATCACTACAATAAGACGTGAAAACTCAGGAATATTTTGTTGAATATCTAGAACTAGCCAGTTAAGGTGTATTTCTGTAAAACACAAAATATAAAAATCTGTTAATTATACTATCACGTTAAGACAATTTATTCCAAATACTTTAAATATTCAAATAAAGCACACTTGAATCAAGACTGTTGGTACCAGAGTTTATTTTTGTTTTCACACAAGGCTGAATTTATTGAAGAGCTTATCAAAACAGGTCAGAAAACCTTGCAAATTCGTTTAATTTAACTTTCAGATATGATTGTGACGTATTGTCTTTATATAACAAGAATTTTTTCTACAATGAAACCGACATGGACAGCTTTCCACCAAGCTTTGTGATAAACATGATGATTTCAGTTTCCCAATTCTGAATTTTCCTTTTCTGGATAGCAATATCCCTGCATTTCCAACCCATGGAATTTACATGTCACAGTTGACAAGAGTCGGACAAACTCGTAACACAGGGTTCAAATGATGCTGTTTGATGAAAAGTATGGGTAAATTTTATGGTCGCGATAGCGATCTCATTCAGAAATATTCTATTTCTTTGTGTGATATGAAGATAGATGCTTGTTAGTTTGCCTGTAGGTTCCGATGTTGTATACCTTGTTTTCATTTGAGAACGTCACATTACTTCTTGGATTGCCAAGGTTTACATGTGTGTTTCGTCGATGAAGCAGAAGACGCTTACTCTTTCGTAATACCTGGTCTTATTCTCCTTGTACTTTTTCATGAATCATCGTGTATATTTTATTTATTTTTTTTTTTTGCATCTATTTTTATTGACTTGAGAATTTGAATTTTGATTCTGGTAAAATGTTGGTATTTTTGTTTGTTTGTTTTTTTTTTTTTTGTTTGTTTTTTTTTGTTTTTGTTTTTTTGTTTTTGTTTTTATTTTAACTATTCTCTTGCCATAGACCAATGATAAAATTGTTTCGTTTTTGCTAGTTTAAAGTTAATCACCTGTACTTTTCCAATGTTTCTGTTTAATCTTTTATACTGAGTTCCCTATCTCGTTACCTACAAACGATATTACACACACACAAATAAGTCTACCAGAACAAGATTTAGTTCAAGGCCAAAACAAGATATTATCATTACGTAATTATAAAAAATAACTGCTTACAAAGGTGAGTAAGAGCCCTTCTTCAGTCAAACCGTTCCATTTAGCCATGACTTATGTATAAATACCTTCACGCAACAAAACCCAATACCACTTGCGGGGTTGTTCAACAATTCATGTCCATATATTTATCAAAGGGGTCTTTGAACTAAATAAGGTAAGTTTTTCTAGGCTTTTATTTCTGTTTCACTTATCTTTGAACGAATGACGTTTCTTAATTAAGGTGACATATGCTTGAACCACTGATATATTTGTAGGCTAAAAAGTTGGTAGCCCAGAGATGGTGCTGTTAGGTAGATAGTTGGTATGCCGTTGTGGAGGTAGGTAGGTGGGTAGGCTCGTGGTGGTTAATGTGGGTAGACCCGAAATGGTGGCTGTAAGGTAAATAGTCGGTATGAAGTTGTGGTATTAGTTAGGTAGGCTGGTGGTGGCTGATGTAAATGATGGGTGCATTAAAAGGTGGGTAAGAAGGTAGACACGGAATGGATGGTGTTACATAGATTATCGGTACTGCTAGAATTAAGATAGAGTATCTACTTTTGTCAGGGCAATTGGTGGCCAAGTGTAGGTCAATTATGACAAATATTTATTCCGAAAAATCACCTTTAATACCTTAATGGTCATAAAATGACGGGTATCTTGTGTAATATTTATCGTTCTTGACCCTCGAATAAATAAAGTGATTGTATGTAGCTGGGAATAGGGTATCGTTTTCTAACCTGTGACCATCTTATTAATTAACAAATCAATTGTTATCTTATGTTTTTGTCTTCTGTGTCTTAAAGTCAGATTGACGTTAAGATCGTAATTATAAGGAAGGACCAAAAATCTTTTCGTATTTAGTCAATCCTACTAGTTAAAACATATCTCAGACTTCTAGAGATGATAACATATCTGTATGATCATCAGAGACAAAAATGGAGAACCATAGTTTTGAGGAAAGGCCTAAATAAAGCGCTCAAAATTTTAGTTACTTTATAGATTTTTATTTATTTTCCGTCCACAGATGGGTTCAGTTATCCATGCTCTGACTTTGCTATCTACTTTGGTCGGATGCTGCTTTGGCTATGAGTGTGATAGTTCAGCCACCGTATGCGAGACGACTCTAATCATCAGCCATCAACAGACCATGTTACATCCTACTGAAGGCCAAGTTTACCCTGTCAATGGAAAACTGTATAGATATGATGATGTAAATCAAACAACCATCATTCCAACTGATGAAGTTATGACAGCTGATGGCTGGGAAAACAACAGATTGGTTACCGTTGCTAACGAGAGTCTCCCAGGTCCACCGATCATAGTTTATGTGGGACAAAGGGTAAAGGTTCACGTTATCAACGCGCTTCTTTCAGATACAGTAACAGTCCACTGGCACGGATTACCTTTATATGGTAGTCCCCATATGGATGGTACACCTTTTGTGACCCAATGTCCCATTCTTCCTGGCCAGAAATTCACTTACGATTTCACTGCCGATCCCAAAGGAACACATTGGTATCACTCTCATGCTGGCAATCAGCGAGCGAAAGGCATGCATGGAGCTTTCATCATTAAAGAGCGAACTTCAACAGCCAGAGAGCATATCATGACAGTAGAAGACTGGAACCATCACTGGGGTAGCGATATGGATGTCCAAAAAATGAAGAAAGCTCAAGTTTTTATAGGCCGCAACTTACAACCAATCAGATCATCTGTAGATGGAGGGTTGTTTCTTCCTTTCATTGCTTCCTCTGTCCTTATCAATGGCAGAGGTCGCTTCTACAACGAAACTGGTCAAGATAATGGTGCTCCTTTGACCGAGTTCTCCGTTGATGCAGGAACTACATACAGGTTCAGAGTAATCCACACTGGTGTAATGTACCCTATCAGGGTTTCAGTTGATCACCACAGACTCACTGTTGTCGCCTCTGATGGATTCGAAATCCAGCCAGTAGTTGCAGAATCCTTCATCGTAGCGGCAGGTGAACGATTCGACTTTGAGATTAATACTAACCAGACTATCGGCAGCTACTGGATACGGGCAGAAACTATTGAAGTAAATTCACATAAAACTGAAGCTGTTCTCCGATATACTGGCGCAGATCCATCTCGAGACCCAATAACTTCTAGAAAAGTTTGTTCTCCTACCAACAGATGTCTGGTTGTCAACTGCCCGTTTGAAACATATCCATCTGATACTTATACGGATTGTATAAACTTCGATCAGCTCAAATCAGCTATCAATGACCCACCACCGGAGCCGACATCGTCTGACGATTTCAAAGAACACCATTTGAATTTTGGAATCGTCATCGGGCGACCATCTGTAAACGGAATAGTTTTTCAAACGCCAAAGGTGTCAGCACTAAGCCAACCTTTTGAAGTCGGGCCTACATGCGACAAAAACGATTGTGGTGAAGACACGTTATGTAATTGCATGCATTCAATCAGCACCAACTTCAACGACGTCGTACAGCTGGTGTTGATGAATACAGGAATGGTAGTTCCTGCCGCCCATCCCATTCACCTTCATGGCTACTCCTTTTACGTACTGAAAACGGGGTTCGGTACTTACAACACAACTTCAGCAAAGTTTATATCGCCAAATATGGATATCGATTGTCGTGGAAATGGGGATATGAGTTTTTGTAACCAAGGGACATGGAGAAATTCTACGTGGTTAGGAAACAACGTACCTGATCTGAATTTGATCAACCCTCCGAAGAAGGATACTTTGAACATGCCCTATGGTTCATATGCTGTGATTAGGTACAAAGCTAACAATCCAGGCGTATGGATGCTTCATTGCCACGTACAGGTCCATATGGCACTTGGGATGAGTTTACTTATCAATAGTTCTTACGGTATGCACCCAGTCCCTCCAAAAGGGTTTCCCGTCTGTCATGACTTTCCTTCCGCCTTTCGGGAACGTTTAGAGGACTACCAGCAGCAGAGTCCAACAACGCCGGCACAGCGTCAAAATACTGCAACTCCTGAAATCAGATTAGTGACACAAATCGTGAAAGAAGGTACGTAACCCAATGAGGCAGCACGTTCCTCGTTTTTTGAGCGTCGATTTGTAATTTATAGCCGAATGATATGTATCAATTACATGATTCATGTTCAGAACTATGTAAAGTTGGAATTTCTCGTTTTCAATTTCAGATGATATTTACGGAATCTCCTCGTTCTGGGCCATGTTCGGAGTGCTAGTTGCAGTCATACTGGTGCTGTCTTTCTATATTCTAACCATTCGGAAGAAACTGTACCTGTACAAGAAGAAATATGATGATTCTTCATCAGCATCAAAGCAGGCGAATGATAACAGAAGTTTTTCGAAACTTTAAGCGTAAATACGTGTGATAAAACCAAAAATTGCTTTTTTATCATCATTATTAAAACGTCAATCCACAAAATAACAGGTGCAAACTATATATTATGAGCTTATAAAGTGAATGTTATGTAGTTGTCTTTAATAATTACATGACACTTGTCTGGAAAAACTACCAAAATAATGGTACACTAAAAACTATTTTATTACATAATTTCATTTTTCATTTTTCTTTATATCGTGTTCGCACTAATAGATATATCAATCATTTCGTACTTCAATAACATTAACATACTTTTCACGTGTAACAACTAAGTAAAATATCTTTGTCATATTAACATGATGTAATTATTGTACGTTCTAATATCGCGTATATTGACATTTTTTTTAATTCAATAAAAGAAATTTCCAGCTAGAAAAGTGTGGCATTTATGAAATAAACTATTCTCTTATTTTAGTTTTCGTTTTAGAGTTAAATATTACATGTAGCTCCTGGAAGTATCGGAAAGTGTTTTATCATGTTACACTCCAAAATGTGTGGGGATTAACAATTTTCATTATTATGTCTGTGCCTTAACGTGTGTGCGATTTGCCTTCATCGCTGAATGTATCGTTCGATATGAATAGAATGCTACTCAGAAGACGAGTTCTATTAGGTGGTCAGTTGACCATGTTTTTTTAACGCGTTCCCATTTTAAATGACCGGACATAATTTGACTTTCTCGTTTATATGATTTATCATTAACGTTTGAAATATTAACAAAATCATCCATGTTAGACTAATTATTTCATTACCATAATCATTATATCAACAAGCGAATGTGTAATTCTGTATAAATATGAAATAGTCATTGATTTCGAACAGAAATCAAACAAACTAGCAGAATCATCATTAACCGTATCAGTGTTAATATAGGATAAATTTAGGTTTACGGTGATAATATGTTACTCAGTTTCCTCCACAATATATCAAAACTTTCAAGAAAAGAATCACCCTTAGCCATTTCTATATATAGATATCCTCTATTAAATTAGTAAGTGTATTCATATTGAAAGAATCAATAAAATATCTGGTTTTATAGACGTAATGCTTTGGACATAATGTTAGCTTCATTATCAATTTAATTATCAATTCTGAAACATTTCACATTGCCAAAGAATATGAGTGATGGTGTCTATCTCTAAATGTTGTTGTATACTAATAGATAATATATAAATAAAGACTTGTATAAAGTTTCGAACTTGAAGTTGAATGGGTACCGGAGATATCGGTGCCGGAATTAGTCTCATTAATCAACACCAGGATATGAATATTGACGAGGAAAAGTCACATATATATGGTAATAGGAGCGGGTAGGTGTGGCTTGTTGATAGTGTTAAATACGTCTCTGTCACTCAGATGACGGAGCATGCTTGTTTGGCTCAGTTGGTAGAGCTAGTCGATTATCACGTCAGAGACCTGGGTTCGATCCCTGATCTTTCATAATATATGTATCTTGCCTATACGTATAGGAACTAATAGAAGTTAATATTGTTGTACTCCAAATATCGATTAAAGACTTAGAGATTCTTGTGAAGTATTTAAGCCGGAAATAGTATGATGCTTTGAAACCAGGATTATATAATCTTACACGAGTCTGTTCCATAAGCAGGAACACACTCAATCCGAGTGCTAGAGTTTGGCTAGTCAGCATGCACGAGGTTTATCATGTTCCGTATCTGCAGATGCACTATTTAACAACAAAATTGAGAAATCTAATACTGTAAAGGTTGCAGTTTTCGAGTGAGTTTATTTTCCGATATTTTCGGGGGTAAAGTCAAATCGTGAAAATGTGATACCTTGATTGAAATTACAATCAACACAGATACCCATGTCTATTTCGCGACTGCCTTGATAAAATAATTACTTTCTGCTTTAACTTTTTAATTAAAAATTTTAAACCATATAAGGTGTGAATCCCTATTACACACATAATATTCGATCAAATTAATGCGGAAAAAAAAAACAAGCAGACAAAAACAAAAAAACGCAGGGGGGGGGGGGGGGATGTAGAAAAAATCAGAAACATGATGGGGAGATGTAAGCCTTAAACAAGAAGTTTCCACATGCAATTTGCATGTAGACGAAATAATATTGTGAAACTGAATTATACTTTTGGGAAAAATCAAACTGTAGTACAGTGTATTGATTTTTTGGCGCGCGTGTGTATAGGTGTGTATATTTTGTCAAGGTGGGCGTACGTTTTGTTGTTTTTTCCTTCTTTATTTTTCTGTTCTCTCTACATTTGTATCTGTCTCAGGCCCTATCTGCTCCTCTCTCTCTCTCTCTCGCTCTCTGTGAATGCCCGGCTGTAGTGGCTAGTTTCCATTTCACAACCGCACGAAATCTTGGGCATTTGTTAGAGTAATCTCCCCTCGTATGTGTGAAAGGATAGAAAATAGTGCAAAATGTAAAACCGACTTTCCCGCATATTGCTTAATGAACTGATAAGGGATGGAAGCCAGCAAAGTACATCAGATTCCGTGTATACTTTACTACTAACTATATTGATGATAACATTTATCGTTACAATGCAAATGATCATTCAGTGCGTAAGAATATGTAACTAGTCTTTCGTCCTACTTTCTTTCTTTTCCATGTGGCTGCCATACTGGTAACACGTGCTTTCATATTTCTTCACTAAAATGTTCACTTATCCTTTGTAGAATAAGGCCATGTCTACCCAAGTAATAAAATTAATGTTACAAAAAACAATAATATCAAAGAGGGATAGTACTGCATTTTCAATTCCATTTCGTAGACTGAAATATGACGACATAAGTACGAAGGGCGAATCACGTAGACACTAAATCCTCTTAGTCCCTTCTGGGTTCCTTCCTGGCCTAGTTGGAGCTCATTAATATCGGACGCTTGACGTAACGAGAGACATTTGCAAATGTCCGATGTAAATGAGTCCTAAGAATTTCTGAAGGGATCAGGTTTCCCTCCTTTACTTGCATTCTAACCTTACTAAATTTTTGCTAGATATTTGCTGTATGAATATGAAGACACGACCCATTCCAAACATTTAGTACTATCAAAATCCCCCGCCCACTGAATCCATTGACATTTACGTGTTCAGTTTGATTTTTAATTCAATAATTGATAATAATTCCTCGAAAATATAGCTCAACATCTTCATGTAACTATATAGGTCGGTGTACAGTTTATACAGGATAAGTTAAATGAACATACTTGCCATGTTGACGGAGGAAGATTTTTCTCCCTAAAATGCTGGTGTAATTGGGCTTCTGTGTACAGTTAGAAGTAAATATATTTGTTTTCATTTCAGATTAAGCAATCATGCCACGTGTGCCACTAGTAGCTAGTAAGACCTACACAACTCCCCGACGTCCTTTTGAGAAGGAACGTTTGGATCAGGAGTTGAAACTTATCGGTGAATATGGTCTGAGGAACAAACGTGAAGTATGGCGTGTCAAGTATACCTTGACCAAAATCAGGAAAGCTGCCCGAGAACTGCTTACACTGGATGAGAAAGACACCAAGCGACTTTTTGAAGGTAAACATGATATGATCTTGACGAATGAATATTCTGCTACAATGCATCATCATTAAGGAAACCTTGTGTTGATAATTCTGATTGTAAAGATTAAAAAAAAAAGATTGAAAAGTTGTGGACTTTTAGTAAGATGTAGATATAGGTTTGGGGGGGGAAGAAAGATGTAAATTTGTAAATTAGGTAAATTCTTATCCTTAAACAAGACATGTTGGCTTAACAATATTTGGTAGATGTGAACATCATCATCAAGCATTTATACTATCCTAGGTAATGCTCTGCTGAGAAGACTGGTTCGTATCGGTGTATTGGACGAGAGCAAGATGAAGCTCGATTATGTGCTGGGTCTCCGTCTGGAAGATTTCTTGGAGCGTCGTCTGCAGACACAAGTTTTCAAGCTTGGATTGGCAAAGAGCATCCATCATGCCCGTGTGTTAATCAGACAAAGACACATCAGGTTGAGTAAATTGATTTTTGTTCACATTTGTATAATAGGTTTATGTTTCTTAGGCAGAAAATGGAATAGCTGGAGATGGTTGAAAATATTACTTAACTTGTATGTTCTCTGTCAAAAATTGATGAAAAAATAACTGAAGTTAGTGTGAATATTAGACGGCTGTTCTGGGTTAAATAATTCTGAAAATTTCTGCCGTTTTGTAATTGAGTCAATTGTATTCCAAAATCGTTACATAGATAAATATTTTCAATTAAGTTTTAAATGTTGAAAATTTTATATGGTACGATCAATGGTGTAGTTTGAAATTTTTGTTTAAATATTTAAAACTTGTTTCATTAAAAGCTGTCTGAAAAGTTGATAAGGGAAGCTCCTTCTTCCACTCTGAAAGGCCACTGTTGCAAACCATGTGTTGCTTCAAGTCTTTTAGATCAACTGGCAGTGTTTGGTCCACATGACTGAGGTTGACCTTAACGACAAAAGGCCACTGCAGCAACTTTTACTGTTGTAAGTCTTTTAGAGAGGTTGAATATTAATGTTCTTGCAGACCAATGAGGTTCTCCTTATGTCTGTTCTAGTACCTGGTTTGACATGTACACGACACAGGTAGGCGTCCCTAAATTTTTAACTTGACACTGATATTAAATTTTTAACAAGATTCAGCAGCTGTAAACGAAATGGAACTTCATTGCACAAGGCCTGCAGACAAAACTAATGCAATATTTCTCTGATTGTAGAGTAAGGAAACAGGTAGTAAACATACCCTCCTACATGGTACGTTTGGACTCCCAGAAACACATTGACTTCTCGCTGAGGTCTCCATATGGTGGTGGTCGTCCAGGTGAGTTTGGGCATTGTTGGATTCAACCAAGTTTACTGAAAATATGTGCATTATTTCATTTGGATGTCTTTGATCAAACGCTATAGTTATTGAAAGTAAATATTTTAAACCATATATCAACTTGGTAAACTGACGGAAATTTAACCTAATTTTGCTGTCCACTTTCAGGTCGTGTAAAGAGGAAGAACATGAAGAAGGGCAGTGGTGGAGGTGGAGACGACGACGAGGATTAACTTCTCTGTTGACTGTACTCTCTGACTGAATAAATCCACAAGAAAAAGTCTAGTGTTGAATTGTCATTTTGATCAGTCCACTCTCGTGAGCATGTGCATCATGTAGCATCAGATTGTCGATAATAGTGCAAAGTTGCCCAAGGCAATAGTTGCTTGGTTTTTGAGTGGTGTAACTTGGAGCTGTTGGTTACCTCATTGATCAACAAAATAGGCCCTTTGCATGACATTTCAAGCAAATGGGAAGTAAAGCGTATTCCACAAGAGAGCACGGATTTCTGAACAGGCATAGTCAGATGTTTGGGGTTTTGATTGATTTTCAAATATCGGTAGCAGGTAATCTTGTCCTCCTTGGTAAAGTTAGTTTAGTTGATAACTCTATAGGAGTCTTAGTTGTTGGTCTTCGTATAAAGTGTAGAATAAATTATTTGGTCTAAAGTAAAAGGATGATTTTTTAGTGTGAAGTTCTTCCATTGTAATTTCAAGAAAATGTACATGAAGCAATTAGTTGAAGACAACTGATATATGGCAGAAATTGTGAAGTGTATCAAACTGTAAAATGACTGCTTGTATGATGTAGATTGTTCATTGACGATGAATTTTAACTCGTTTGTTTTAGTTCTCATGGATGCTTGAAACGTTTGTCAAGAGCTTCTTGACTGAGATGATCAAATATTTTTGCTCAGCAAGAGTACTGCAATGCTGAACAATACACACCTATTCCTTGTCCAGGAGAAAAACGTATCAAAACTAATAAAATGGAAATCGGTTAACATTCATGAGGTAAAACTGTAGTTCTAAGATTGGTTTTGGTCCATCTCTGTCTGCTAGTGTCGGGAAATAACTTGAAAATGGTTTCTTCGGATTTCAACCAAAAATGGTATATTGCTTTATTAGCCCACCATCATCAGATGGTGGGGTATTCAAATCGCCCTGTGTCCGTGGTCCGTCCGTCCGTAAACATTTCTTGTTACCGCTATTTCTAGGAAAGTACTGGATGGATCTTTCTCAAATTTCATATGCAGTTTCCCCATGGTCCCTAGTTGTGCATTGTACCTTTTTTGGACTGATTCAAATTCAAGATGGCTGACAGGCGGTCATCTTGGAGTTAGAAAGTAAAAGTTTGTTACCGCTATTTCTGGGAAAGTACTGGATGGATCTTTCTCAAATTTCATATGCAGGTTCCTCTTGGTCTCTAGTTGTGCATTGTACCTTTTTTGGACTGATTCAAATTCAAGATGGCCAACAGGCAGCCATCTTGGAATTTGAAAGTAAAATTTTGTTACTGCTATTTCTGGGAAAGTACTGGATGGATCTTTCACAAATTTCATATGCAGGTTCCCCTTGGTCCCTAGTTGTGCATTGTACCTTTTTGGACTGATCTGAAATCAAGATGGCTGACAGGCAGCCATCTTGGATTTTGAGAGTAAAATCTTGTTACCGCTATTTCTGAGGAAGTACTGGATGGATACTTCTGATACCGGTACTGGTATTGGTTTCACTTGGTACCTAGTTGTGCATTGTACTTTTTTTGGACTGATTTGAAATCAAGTTGGCCCACAGGCAGCCATCTTGGATGTCGACAGTAATACAGCACAAGCATATTTTCTTCGATATTCTATCATATTGACTCAAGACCATGTCCATTATCCACCTGTAACTGACTGCTATCTAATAATACTTTGCGATCTTTTTCAAATGATATTTGCTGAAAGGTGATTAATAAAAATATCTTGTGCCATCATTGAGTACATTCAATGAAGACCAGTTCATGAACATTTACAAAACCTGTAACACACAAAAAAAAGAAAATAAACAAATCTTCAAGAACTGAAAACAGATCCTCAAATGGTGGGCACCAAGATCCCTCTGGGATCTCTTGTATTTAGAAGATAGGGATGAGTTTGATATTAGTAAAACTCCACATTTATCAGAGTTATGGAACTTTGAAATCATTAAAAAAGATAATCTCGTTCCATCAAATAATTTTTCACTGTCTAGCTGGAGACAAATGTTGCATCTGAAGATTTCCCAGTCGCATGACTTGCAAATGAAAAATTGATATCTCTGTTGAATAACTAAATTATTAATGCCAGATTAAAATTTGTATTTCTCACATAAGTAATATCCCAAATAAGTTTTATATATGTCAAAATCTGCTGATATTTTCCACAGCTTTGAGATAAAACAAGTCCCCAACTACTTTTTTCTGACTAACAAAAAGATGCATATGTATGGTACGTTCCTAGGATGAAATCAAACAGTATGTGAAAAGAAATTACCTTTGAACACTTATTCAAGGTCAGAGGGGTCAAATTTGTTAAAACATTAAAATGACTTCTTTTGACCACCCATAAGGTGTAGAATTATGGTATTAACCTGATAAGTTCTTAAAATGAAGGCCAAAGTTTTCATATAGAAATGACCTTGACCAAGATCACTTCAAGATCGCAGTTTTTGAATTAAAATTTTAAATTCTTCTGTCTAACCAAAAGTCTGAGAAGCATGATATTTGATGGAAAGATGTTTTTAGGTCAAAGCACAATGTTGAGAAAAAATAAATGGCATTTACTTAAAGATCCAGGTCATAACGGTCAATTTTATGTTTTGAGTATTAGAAGCTTTTTATTGAGCAGGTTTATATCAATGGGATGTGCACACTTTGAATACATATAGTGAACATGTCATTATAGTTTTGATTCTAGTTTTGATGAACATTGGATAACCAACCACCATCATCAAATGGTGAACTACTTCTTGAGAAGTAGTGTATAGATCTTTCTACAATTGGTCCCTAGTTTTGTTTAATTCAGGTCTGAACAGAACAGCAAAATGACCAACAGGTGAATATCTTGGATTTCAACAATGTAGGTTACCCTTGGTTCCTAGTTGTAACCTGTTTGGTTTTGGAACTGATCAGCAGAAAAAAATGGCTGATAGGTGGTTATTATCTTGGATTTCCACAAATAAAGTTTGTTATCTCCATTGCTTGAAAAGTACCGCATGGATCACTCTTTCAAATGTTCACCTTGGTCCATACATAGATGTGCTCATCTGATTTTGAAACTTATTAGAAAAACGAAATGGCCGACAAGCACCATCTTGGATTTCAACAATAAAAGTTTGTTATCGCTCTTTTTGAACTACTAAATAGATCTTTCTCAAATTTCATATGGAAGGTTCCCTTGCTCCCTAGTTGTGTTCATTTTATTTTGGGACTGATCAGAAAGACAAAGTGGCTGACAGGTTGCCAAAATATTGAATTTTTACTTTATCTTGAGAATTACTGAATGGATCTTCATCAAATTTCATATGTAGGTTTCTCTTGGTCCCTCGATGTTGTGCCTTTTTGATCTGAAAAACAATATGGCTGACAGGAGACCACCATGAATTTGTCAAGTTTACGATTATTTATGTTTAAATTTTGTATCATAAAGAGCAAAAACAGAGAAGAGATGAATAAAGAAGTCTAAAAAAATCTAACTTTTAATGAACAAATAAAGACCAAACAACATGGTCATGTTAAAAAAGTTAATGATTTACACAAAATAGTACACACTTTTAAAACTTGCACAATTAAGTTAAAAACTGCTTGTAAGCTGCCTTGTGCTCTCATTGTACAACTAGTGTATTTGCACATTGTACATATTACAGTTACCAGATTAGTCAACAATGCTTATTTTCCTTTAAAAAAGAATTAGTTACATTCATTACTTTCCCCATAAACATGAAAGACAATTACTCTAAAATATTTTTGCAGAACTTGTCTTTAGAAAAAGAAAGCACCAAAGTACCATTTATGTAAAGAACCCCGGTGGTCAGTTTTCAGTGAAATATTTTAACTGTTGAACTGAAAACTTTACTTCATTATGAAAAATCTTAAAATCTTCGCCCAGCATTACAAAAACAACTAGCAGGTTGCCGAAGTATGCACTTATAAAGTACATCAATATCTCCAATGTTTAAAATTCTATTATCAATATCTATAAATTGACCAGGAAATTAGACATACAAATTTAACCATACTTGTATTGACCAGCTAAATCAATTAGTTTGACATAACAAATAAGAATTCATCTTCTTGCACCACAGACAAGATAATACACAGTTTACATTTCTTTCACCTTGAAATGACAAAATCTAATCAAATATCCTGTAGTACTAAGATAGTTTACAATTCTAACATATATCTTTTGAGCAAATCACACAGCAAACAAAAATTCAACACAAATATTGTTGAAAAATTACATCATGAAATATGCAAGAAATGTACACTTAAAAAAGTGTAAATTAGAGACAGAAGCATTACCTCTGAGTTGATATAAATATATAGTAATTGTAACCAGTCCATTGGGAAATATGTGTTTAACACAAGAAACAATATATTCTTCCTGTTCCAATATGACACCGATCTTGATATGCAAATAAAACACTGATTAAAAATATGAGAATTTTTGGCAAAAAAATCATCATGTCCAACTACTGTAAAATATCACACAATTGCAATTCTCAGTAATATCACAAAAACATAGCAATGCATGTCATACAGCGTTATAGTTGTCAACAAGGTAGTGGCCGTATATCTGGGGAAACAAACCTAAAATGGAATGAAATATTATCATCACCATTGTACATCTCTGGATGATTAGCTCAAAGTGCAACTTATATAGAAGAATCAACTTGTGATACATGTATGTCTTGAAAATATAAAATCATGTCAGCAAAATTATGATTAACCTTTTTATTTCAATTTAGTCATATTCAACTTCAAAGCAAACATTTAAATTTTTGTTCAACTGCATTGTGATAAAAAAATACTCAAGAAATGAGAGCTGTATTTACAATAAAATCTTGTTTAACTGAAAATCTCACTTATATGCACACATGGCCCTATTTTCCTGAGCTTTCATGAAGGATTCAGATAATGAAAATTAATACTACACTTACCTATGTCGTGCCTCTGGGCTGAAGAGCCTGCTTTTTGAGTAGTACTGTGAGGGAAGACTCCTGTCTAAGAGGTAAGTATGTGACGAGATAAAGTCGTCAAAACAATCTGCATTACCCCTCTGTATGGCGTCTGTTACCACTGATATGTAGAACATTGTGATGGTCTCGTGGTAATCATACTTCACCTGTAATACACACAGTAATGATCTCTTAACAACACAATTTTTTTTCCCTTGCGAGTCCAGAGTAACATTTCTAAAATTCTGACGAGTCCAGTAACACAGAGATAAAATGGTTTCTCAAAATCTGAGTCGGTCCTACAGGAAATGTAGGAGTCCCAAAAATCACTGCAAATCATAAGTCTTGTGGTCACCAAACTTCACTTGTGACACACACTACATAGTGAAGATCTTATGGTAATCGACAAAACAATGAAAAACAGAACCCCCCCCCCCCCCCCGAGATAAAAGTGAAGCAGAAAAAAGGTAGGTTTTAGAATTATTGGAAGAAAAGAAGTAAAAGACTAAAGAATGCATCAAATAATCTTGTTATTAGATTCCTGTCTGAAAAGAACAATTCTCTAAATCAAATGTTTTTGTTCAATTGAATGCTATCTTCATCTTGAAAGTTGTAAAAAGGAGAAAAAAATGAAAATAATGAAAAATGAAGATCAACACTTCAAACTTACCTTATCTTCGTTTTGTTTGTTAAAGTTCTGTATGCCTTCTCTGAAAAAAAACATATAACTTTAAAATACATTCACTCTGTGATTATGGCTTATTAACCTAATAAGAATTGGGTAATGTCTAAGGGGAGATAATCCTAAACGTGTACAGAACTCCCAAGTATTATGTATAATTGATTACACCAATTTAAAGCCTGTGATTTAAAGACAATCCTGTTAAAAATACAGGTGTAGCAGGTGTCTTTGTACTGACACAATATGAGGGGTGGCTCCATCTTTTCCGAACTCCGAAATGTAATTCCACGCCATCTTTAGATGTGCCTCATGGGTCCAGTCCTCAAACGGTAAGGAAGCATCCTCAAATGCCTTTATAAATATCTCATCTCCAACGGATCTAAATGACCTGAAAATAGCCATACAAGTTAATACTACATATACGAATTAGAAAGATGGTGTTCCCTGCAGCATGGATTAAAACTGTAATACATTTAGATTTATAATTGATAATTTTTTTTGTCATTATTAGCCTCCATCACCAGAAAACACCTAATTTCTGAAACAAAAAGCAGAACACTGTTGTATTTCTCCAACGCTTCAAAAGTTCATTCCTTCCTATCTTTCGGGATAGACAGCTTTTAATCTAAACTTACTCCAATGACTTGCAATAGAGTCACACCATCATTTCATGTGGTATGTCATTATATCACCCATTTTGATTCAATTTCACAGGTCATAAAGTAATCAATCTTTTCTGCATGATGTAGACATACAAATCTGAATCCTCAGGATACAGTTTTTATAGTTTAGAAGAAAAAAAAAAGGCCTCATGCTGAAAGTTAAAAAACTTAAGATATCTCTGTCTTTATCAAAGGTAGGTGAAATATTCTGTTAATGTAGAACCTTAACTCCTGAAGCATCAATGCATGAAAATCTTGATTCTACCTATCAACCTAGTTAGTGGCAGAAGGACGATCAAACCTTGAACTGTACTCTGATTTCTAATACGGTGCACGAGTAGTTTATCTGTTTCATTTTAACACAATATGAATTTTACAAAGTCATTAAAAGAATATACATGAACTTGAGATGGAATCTTAATCCTTAAAAGTGAGACCTGTCAGTGTCATAGATCAATAAATTGCATATTCAAGGTGTGTCAATTCCAATCCACTTTTGAACACAGAACAGCGCCTCTAAGTTTTATACAGGTTGAATATTGTTTATTCCATTGTTTTACCTGATGAAGTACAGAAGAGGGTCGGGTGTGCTATGATTGACAACAGCGTTACAAACATCTCCGTACCAAACATGATGGTCCCCAACTGTATGGACAGACTGAGCTTTGCACTCCAATACTGCTGAACACCCAGATATCAGAGGAAGGCCCTGGAACAACGCAATATATACTATAATACCAAAATTTTGAGAAATTGATAATTGTATACATTGAGAAGCTATGTCATAATATATTAACTGACATGACAAATTCTTGTTACCTCCTTCCCTAGGTGGTGGGGTACACTGGCAAACTGGCAAATGCCATCCTTCACTGGCTCAGAGAAATGTACACCATATTTCACCTAAATCAGAAAAGATCTTTATCATTTATTCTACAATTTTTTTATTTACTTGTAGTGTCTTTGATTGCTAATTTGAAATCTTTATTGTTTTATCCATAAACACATAATCTTATGTCTAATGCATGGGCACTCTGCCAAACAAATAGATAATTCACAAAATACATAATTATTCACAAGCAACCACAATTTCTTGTGAAATTTGGAATTATCAGCCATTCAATCTTAGATCTTACAAGAAACTTTACATGTACAGTAATCTGAGTGATGGTCTCGCATTATGTTTTCACAGCCACAAAATTTTAAGAAGTGCTAGAAGATGTGGGTTTATATATTGAATTTTCACCTCCAGACCAATAAAATCAACAGATGATGAAAAAATTAACACATGGTAAATGAAAAGAAAGACTTGAATGAATAAAACTTTTTAGTAGATTCTCAGATTTCTGTTACTGGACATAACCGATTTTGTTGTGAGTTTTTGAGACTTTTACAATGAATCTATCAAGATAAACTTGTTTAAAATAACCCAGATGCAACTTACATATTTTACATGTACAATAAATCTAAAACTGCTGTGAACTGCAAGAACTGCACATTACCTGGTCCCTGGCAAGGACATGGACAGCAAACTGCTGAGTCCTAAGCAAAAGGTCATGCATGCGGCTGAAAACACATCAATAAAATTGTTTATTGGACTAAAAGTTTTCTTATTTCAATCATAGTAGTTCTGGTTTTCACCAATCTGGAAGACAAACTGGTCTTTTTTGTTGTACGAAGTTGATTCAGTTAGCTCATACTGAATTAACCTATTTGCCAAGTAATGAACTATGGAAACTTATAACTTAAGATGGCAGTTGGATACATTTTTCATATTCTTTTCCGTTTCAATTTTCCATTTTTTCTGTGTCCACTTTTTAAATAGTGATTAAAATATTACTTGATCTTAAATTTTGTCATTGAAATGAAGACTACAAGATCATGAAATCTGGATGAGTCATAAACACCTTAATATGTATGAAAACATACAGAAGAGATTAAGTATAGAAGAGATTAAGTATTATATAGAAGATATTAAGTATTATACGGAAGAGATCAAGTATCACACGGAGGAGATCAAGTATCGCACGGAGGAGATTAAGAATCATTTAGAAGAGATAAAGTATTATATAGAAGAGATTCAGTTTTCAAATTCTGATAAAAGAAATTTTACCTTGAATGATTCAAACAGAAGGAGACAACTGCTGGGTCTAAGGAAACACTGCTGAAGGATGTACAGGTTACTCCCCTTTTCAACCAGCTGTTGTTTAAGATATCATGTCCAGACGTCGTTACAACCACCACTGAAAACAGACATCAAGCAAGTTTTTGATCGTTCATTGTTCTACCTTTTCCATATAACAGGAAACTTTGCCAATTCTGTCCTATATGTTCCGACACCTATTCAGTTCAGACTACTCATATTTTCCCATTTCAAAAAAGGAGAATTTAGTTTTACAGCAATTACAAGGATTTAATCAAAACCTGCCTTGATGTGCAACACATTTCTCAGACTACACTCTCTAATACAAAGTGGCATGCTGTAATGATAAACTGAATTTCACTAGGAAGATACTCACCTGGCTGTGGGACCTTCCTCATAACATTTTTATAGGCATCACCAACATTTGTCGACTTTGCCTCTGAAATGAATACAAAGTATTTGTATAGCTTTCCATTCATTACAAAAGCTACAACACTTCAACTACAGCATTTTATATAATCATTTAAAAAGTTACAGTTTAAAGGGATATTCCAGTTGCAAAATATTTGGCTGTTATGTACAACTTAAGAACTCATTTTAATTACTTTAAAACTATTGTTAGCATCAAAATATCTCTCCTGTGGTCAGTTTGGACAGGCAAAATTGGCAGGAATAGTCCCAGCCAATGTAAGTTTACCATCTAAATATATAGCACACCAGCACCTGGTCATTATTTTTATGCAGAGTATTTGGTAAATAAACAAGTGTGTATGCTGTTCATTAAAATTCTGCTGGGTTTGCAGTTTGATTTCTTCTGTTTTTTCTGTTTATTTTATGATCATCTATAACAAATATTTCATTCTGTTCAGCTAGTAACAAGCAAACCTGCTGTGATGCAATCAGGACCAGGAGAACTTTTTTAAATTGATCTAGCAAGTCTATAAAGAATTTCTGCAAAATAAATATCATCTGTTTCTTTAAATGGTAAACTGAAATTTATGATTCCCATAAAAACATAAATGGATAATTTTGTACAAAAGCATCTTTTGAAATCTGAACTGTGTTGAATTTCCCTTTAAATCATTACGTATTATTCTAACACATAACCACCAAGAAATAATCTGAAGTTTAACACACCATTCCTTCACTATGTAACCCTGGTAAAATACTAGCCGCAATATACCACTCGGCTAGAGAGAACTTCTTTTTAGCTCGATTGGTTGAGCGTCAGACTAGTAAGCCAGGGGTCCCAGGTTCGATTTCTAGCAGGTTCAATTCCTAGCAGAGGCATTGAAAGAAATAATGACCTCTGTTACAACTACAAATTACTAGTAGTTCACAATTTCGTTTACAAATAATTAAGATGGCCTTGACCTTTCAGCTTTTGATTGACATTCTTAGCTTTATTTGACCTTGTAAAAATAATTCTATCCCATTTTGTGTTTGTTCCAATATTCTAACATACATCATGCGTTACTTCAAAGGGTTCTGACTATCTCTGTGCAATTTTATTTTTGTCTTCGATTTGGACAATAGTCAGCTGTTAAAAACTACAAGAAACATTGCCTGAATGCCAGCACTTGCAAGGATCACTAGAATTTGGCATTTTTATAGTAATTTTGACGAAATCATTGATAGACAGTCAGAACCCTTCTGACTTATTGTGGAGCTGGTCACTACCACAGCGATCATTGTTTTCTTCATAACTCAAAGAAATTATTAAACTTGAAAGTGATTTATTATACTACAATTTTATGCAATACTCTTCATTAATTCTTCGCTCTTACCAGTTGAGAATAACTTGGGAACATAATGTGATATACGTGACCAGTTGGAGGTAAGCTTTTTTCCTTGTAGTTGAACAATATATCTGGAATTCATCTTGGGCTGCACTAGTAAATAATGGTGACGAAATGAATCTTAAAATCTGAAAAAGAAATTAATATAATGCCTTGAGAAAGTTACTTCAGGAAAACTGACAGACGTATAATTGTACAGCACTTCTTGATTTTTCTAGAATTTGTCCAATCTATTTTTGAAGGAGTTTGAACTTAGCACACACCACTTGGTCTGGTTTGCCATATTTATATCGAAAGTTAACTAATTAGACATTAAATTTTCTCTCGTGAGTCAAGATTTAAGAGGGAAAAATACCTTATATTGAAGAGATACGTTTGAGTCCTTTTCCGTTATATATTGTCCAACTAGGAATTTGTGATGTATCTATAGTTACAGATACGTGTAGAGGAATGTTCCCAACCTTTCAACTCAGTATACTAGCTTTTGAATCTATTCAACCATGTCATCAAAAAGGGCGAGTGCCAAAGAGTATGAGTCTGGTCTATTTATAATCATACATGTAAGGCTTTGGAACTATGTTATACATATCCTTAAAAGGATATATCAGATCGACATTTCCGAGTAGTAGATCTCGTCACAGATATATCAAATTTCCATTCTGTTTCAAACATTTGGAAATAAGATTACGAAAGTCGGACTCACGTTTTTTACATGGTGCATTCCAAATCAACCCTGGTGCATATCTGTTGAATTATCAAGTTGTCACCTCCCCGTTGTAGGATGCCTGCCTTTTCCACCATGCTGCAATTATCCATGGGATTTCCTCATGGTAGCAGTACACTGTTTCTCGGTGTGGCCATGGGTGTTTTTTCTAGTTTTAATTAAAATTAAAAAAAAGAAATCCTTGCTAAGTTTGATCTCGTCATGTTGAAGTGTACAACGTGGGTTTCATTTTTTCAGAATAATATCTTTGCTCTGTGTTGGAGATTACTATTTGGGCAATCTCGAATCTGTGTCTATGCTTTACCGGAAGTAACGTTTTCATAGTATTTACATGTGGTCATTTATGAAGGATTTCCGTGTTTGAATTTGCTAAATTATAGTGTGATATCGGAATTAGCAGTATTTTTGCAGTTTTAGCATTATTTTAGTAGGTAACCATGGCAATCATGTGTCAGAAATCAAAGGAAAGTTTTAATTCATACAAATTTTATCTCTCTACTATAAATGCAATTGTTTATAGTTTATATATATGTAATAATGTATTTTTCATAACCAAACTGCTATATCTGTATATCTCAAACATGACCAATAATTTCAGGAAAATGCAAATTAACTGTTTCCTGCTACCAGAGACGTATATAACATGTGTTATATATGTCTCTGCTGCTACCTATGCTTGAGCGAAGCATAGAATTCGGTAGCCGTAAGTTTCGCAAACAGTAGTTTTGCTTTTGTTTCGTGAACTACAAAGAAAAATAAAAAAAAAAAAAAATGACACGTGTATTCACATAAATAAAATATGAACGTATCATAAATATACCAAAATTGAGAATATTGCGAAATAGCTTATGCTAACACGACAAATAATTTCGATGTCTCAAAATAGATCACAAACTTTGGAAATCCCCTTTTAATTGACGTCATCACATGTGCCAGGGAATACCTATTCATGAGTGGGATGGTAAAAGATGGCTTCTATCCTTGGGTATTGTTATAGATCATGCAGTGTTTTTAATCAAGTTAAGCACGTTAATAAATTCTTCACCACTTCAACAAAAAAGCACAAAGTCACGGTTAAAAAATTGAAGGGCAAGAGCATTGGATCACAAAAATGGCTGACACAACAACTCAATGATCCGTACGTGAAACGTGCAAAGTTGGAAAATTGGAGATGTCGAAGTGCCTTTAAATTATTAGAAATTGACGAAAAACACAAAATTTTGAAACCTGGAAATATAGTGATAGACTGTGGAGCAGCACCTGGATCATGGTGTCAAGTCGCTGCAAAGAAAGTAAATGCAACAAAAAGTGGTATGTATAGTGGCCAAAGGCGAGTTATCTCCCTTAGAGAAAATGCCTTTAGATCGCTTGTATAAGAATATTTTGTAAAAAAAAAGAAAAGTTTTCGTCTGCAATGACTAGTTCAGTCACGAAAATATCTGAGATCATACATTTTTTAGGTGAGAAAATGAAATACAGCAAAATTTTTTCCTTCCAAAATTTTCTCATTATTGCGATGTAGCAGTAGCAGTTTTCCCAAACACACACACACACAAACACACACTCTAAAAACATTGTTACGTGCCTCTGTGGAAATGGGCAATGAAAAAAGTGTCTTTATTTTACCCCGTCTTAAAACGCCCCAAACCATTAGCAGCAGTAATCATGTGTAAATATGTGTTTCTCCAGATCCTCACCGACCTGCCGGAACAGTGATAGGAGTGGATCTACTCCACATCGAACCATTAGACGGGGTTACTTTCCTTACAAAATCCGACTTCACAAATAAAGATGTGCAGAATACCATATTGGAAAGTCTTAACGGGAAAAAGGTACAAGTTGTTTTAAGCGATATGGCACCAAGAGCTTCCGATGCAAGACAACTCGACCACGAACGGAGCGTTGAACTCTGCGCCTCAGTTCTCAGATTTTCTGTGACAATTCTTAGACACGGTGGTCACTTGCTTTGTAAATTATGGATGGGACCGGAGCAGGACAAATTGCACAGAGCGCTTGACAGGATGTTTGCTAGTGTGAAAGTGGTCAAACCTCCTGCCAGTCGAAATAGCTCATCTGAAATTTATTTCCTAGCCAAAGATTTCACTGGTGTTCCTTCCGACAAGTCAAAGGTTGTAAGTAAACCCACACAGGAAATATCCGCCAACAACGATAAAGGTTAAACAATTGATTGATTGACAGGTTTTCCGTCTCCTTGACTCCTCCCGTGTCCGGGGTAACGTCAGTGTTCTGGCGACGTAGTTAAACAATTCTCAAAATAAAATATATGGAGCCGTACATTTAGATTCTTTCAGGGTTTTTTTTCTTTAATCTTTAGATCTGCATGTCGTGTTTATCATTGTTTTAACCGCATGATAACATCACGTGACCGGAAATACAGACATCTCGATGTCTATAAAAGTAATCAAATCAATGAATGATATTGCAATACATTGATTCAGTTATTAATCTTCAAATTTCTTTTCATGAGCCTATTTCAACTTTATTGCTAAAAATGACGGGTCCCACAATTCTTTGAATCTTTGATATTCAGTGAAGTAGTCTTTCTACAAGATCATCCTGCCGCCTGTTCATGGGGGTGATAATTCCAGGAAACAAACGATAAAAGAATGAATCGGCATAACAACTATACATTATCATATTGACATCTCTATTTATCAAACTAGTTCTTCTCGATACGATATACCATTTCAATCAAGAAAAGGCAAACGTGAGCCAATTGTTTTTCTTAATGTTATTTTTATTTTGAACAATGCTGAAGTCATTTCCCGGTACACTATTGTTTTGACTTTTTTAATATTATTATTCCAGCAATAATTGAGACTGCCACATAACACACACTAAAAATCTTGCAATAACAAACAAGGACCTTTGGACTGATGGGGGAAGGTTGGGGTTTCTATTTCTTTTCATTAATGGAAGCTTTTAAGGGACATAAATCCATTTTATTGCCTAAATGATGACACCTCAAAAACAAAAAACTGAAGAACTTTGATATCAGTAGATGAAAATGAAAATAAATTATCTCAAAGAAGACATTGAAAAATTCCCCATTTTTGCTCAAAATCCCTCATAGTGTTGTTCTTTGAGGCAATACATTTTTCAACAGTCATTACTTTATTGAAAATAGATTTACATGCAAAAAAGTTTGGTATTAGATTATTAACTTGACTGTAGTATATGTGATGTGATGAGGAGAAGAAAGTGGTTTAAAAGCTTACTGAACCGTTGATTACCAAACAAGATGTCAATTTCTCTAAAATAATATTGGTCAATTGGATCATAGTGTGAATTCCAGTGGTAAAGCTCCTCAAAAATTTGCACTGAATAAAAACATTTAGAAAAGATGTGTTCCACTGTTTCAGTGTCTCCTTGACAGAAATTACATTTGTTATTGGGAACAATCTGCATTTTGTACAATAAATCATTGGTTGGTAAGATCCTGTGACATATCTTATACTGAAATGTTTGTAATTTTGTCTCCTGTGTATAATTGAACATATTTTTGTATAAACTACTCCAATCCATGGGAGAGGTTTGCAAGTTTAATACTGATTGCCATTTCTCTTGGCTTTTAATTGGTGTTTTAACATATTTGGCAGTAAACATGGAATAGAAAAAATTGGAATTGGTTTTTGATAACATCATCGAAAGTATGTCTTTTCTTTTTAATGACCTAACATTTATTCCATTAAGAAGTTCTTCCCTATATTCTTGTTTCCATTTTCTATCTTCTTTTCTGAATGGTGCATAATATTTTAAATAGTGTAAACCAGGTGTTCCTTGGAATTCAATAAAATTTGTAACATTACCATGATTATCAAAAATATCAGATATAGTCTTTAATCCATGTTGTTTCTATTGTGTGAAATGTCTAAAAGATTCAAATGTTGACAAATTTAAGATGCTTTCCCCAAGATACTCATCAAGAGTTTTTGGTTCTGGCTGTAATTCTGCTAGAGCCTTAATTACATCATTCCAAAAACAGTTTTTTACATGTCTTGCTAATTCTACTGACTTCGTTTTGACTTGTATAACGCAGATGTCGTGGTACGTGTATGAACTCTGACCTGTAACCCATCGACAACGCGAAGGGAATGGTTTTACTGTGGTGAGACACACTTGGTCATTCCGTATCTCAGGGCTGACATGTTTTGTACACACGGTATCTATACAACAAAATGAATTTCAAATCTATTGTTGAAATGAAATTGTTCGTTAACAACTCATTTTAGATTAAACCCTTTAATTCTATATGTCCTTGACGCAATTGAATTTGTAGGTGAATGAGTTTAAATAGATTTGCCCTGTTGACAGCACTCGGTGCGCAGTTTCTGTATGTCGAGTCAAGACAATACCGACTTTACACAGAACATTAGAAATTCTGATACACCTGATATGTGTAGCTGTCTGCCAAAGTGTCGAACGTCTGGTTTTAGACCCAGAGGAAACTCGGGCCAAAGACATGTTTGATTTGTAGCCTTTTTTTAAGAATATTATTAGAAAAACGATTAGTATAATACTTCATTGTAGAATTTAACTTGCAAGGGAAGTAACTCCAACAGGCATGCATCAGTGTATGATGGACGAGAGCTGTATTGTGTATTGTTTATCGTTAACGTGACACCTATTACAATATTGATATATATTAAACATTTCGCTGCTTTTACGTCCTCGAAGGCATAATGTCTCAGAAATATCTGTCTGTCTAAAATGACATCAACCCAGGCTAGAGGGCCAGCAGATCTAGAAATTTAGAAATGTCTTACAAAAACAATATTAAATATGGCAAGTTAATGACGTCACCTAGACAAACCTGTCACATTAACATCTGTATCAAATAATTATTAAATACAGAACAAAAGACAGACACTGCATAATTCCTCCCACGTTTAAATTCAGACTTTAATATAATTCCACCTCACACTGCCTTTCCTCCAAAAGTTTATTCAAGTTCATCATTTTGTCCATAAGGTTTGTTTTTATCGTTTCTTTCAGACCTATCATTACAGTGAAATACTTGTCATTTCCGCCAATAGAAATGGGATTTTTCTTGATGACAAAAAAGCATTTATGTTAACGACTTTTCATGATCTTCCGATGACTGTGTTGATTGTAAAAAATTAATTTATGCGTGTTTTCTTGTAATAAAACAAATTATTTGAATATGAACAATGTATATTTTCAAGTTGTATCTCTCATATGGAAGGGTCATAGGATAATACATACAGAATCGTATGTTAAGTATACTTTTACCGGTATTAAAGCTGTAACAGTAGAGACTTGTACACGTGTATTCAGTACACTAACGACTCGATAGTAATTACCTGAGTGAGACCTCGCCGAGTCTTAAGAAACGAATAATAATACACAGAAACGCCGTCTGTAAATAGAAACACTGGAGCTGTATGCATCACCGTAAGCATTATTGCCGGAGGTATACGTCTCTCTGTGTATATGCCTATAGACTTGGGAGGGATACCTTTACACCCACACGCACACGTACATATACATACAGATAGTACTGATGTTTACATGGGTGTTCGTGTGTGTGTTTCCGGAAGGTAAACATACATTTCAATTATTTTGGATGTGATTTAAACATAACGTTGAGTATTTGAAGTTGTCGGATAGATTTTTACACCCGTGAAGGTTTAGGATTCTTCGGTCTCTACGTCTATATCGTTCCTCAAATATATGTATACATGTTTAGTGATGTTCGTCTGTTGTTGAAGCTAACGGGCTGGTACAGAGCAGGTCTCACGTGCGCACGGATCGAAGCCATTTATCGATCTTTGGCCTCCTGGTGTCACACTACACCCCAGCGCATACCGTTGTCAGCACACGGCATCAATATTCATGAAAATCGCTTTTCAGTTACGGAAAAGGATGATTATAGAAGAACTGAACAACACGGACTCCGTAACTACAGTTGCTGGAGCATTTTGATAAGGTGTTTGTGATCATGGGCTCCGCTGTCAGTGATAGACTGGCGTCGCTGGTGCTTGTTCGGGAAAGCTTAGAAGTCAAGGGATAGTCAACAAAGCATGTCAAGTCAACCAAGGCCATATTCGCTATTTACATGCAAATAAGCTTCTAACAGATGACACATGTAGCGTATATATGGCTGTAATCTATAGCAACGTCGCTCGCAACTCTACGTCACGATTGCCAAGATGATGGTAAGCGTGTGTGATGCTATCAGCGGCACCATGCGTTGACATTCATCTGGCCGTTTTGAGAAACCATGGACTACAGTTCCAGCACAGACGGGGAGTGTCAATTTCTTTGGAATATCGTGTTTTAGAAATATAAATATTGGTTGTGTCTCTCTCTATATATATTCCATGTGTGAGTATTTTGTGTAATTTAGATTAAATTTTTTAACAATTACAATGTCGGCAAATAATACCACAGTGGCCATTACCCAATGCTCGGACGATAAACGCTGGTATACATTTCTAGCGTCCAGCCTTATCACCTTTGGATTTGGTCTGTACATAATTCTGTGTTATAGAGTGTTACTGCTCTTTTTCTGTCGAAGAAGGAAACATGCTGGAGTCGCGAAAGTTTCCCATCAAAGTGGACCTGTACCTATCCCCGGGGGAAAGAACGTGCCAGGTTTTATGAAAACCCCCGATCCTGAAATAGGATGGATGACCGAAGCCAAGGACTGGGCTGGAGAGCTGATCTCGGGACAAACTACGACAGGGAGAATACTGGTAAGTGTGTTAAGTAATCCTGACAATATTGACATTTGTGATTGACCCAAGAGCCATACATTTATTGTGTTAGGGCCTTCGAATGTGTTTTCTTCTCCAGTATATTAGCTAAAAATTATAACCTCACTCCGGACTCCTGACGCACTGTCAGCCTAACAGAAAAATAAGGGATTTTTTTTCTATCTATTTAGAATAATTACAAATCAAATTGACTTAACCTCGAACATTTTATTTACTACATGGATGCAGGTTAAGTTATAAAGAAACAACAAAATACAAAAACAGTTCAATTTTGCAGTACTCCTTTAAATAAATAGAATTTGACAACTTTCATGAATACTATAGTATTTGAACTGCCGGTTTCTGTCATAGTGGAAAGGTGTCAAAGCTGCATACTACAGGTGTGTATGGACAACATGAAAGGTTAAGGAGATACATAATGCGATTGTTCATTTTTACTTAGTTAAATAATGACATGTTTGTTTATTTATAGTTAAAACTCTTTATAGCGTCAATCTATCGAATATTTGGCAATATAAAAGGCATTGTATTGATCGCGCTTCACACATATGAGTTCATTACAAAGATGTTCATATAGTTTAGTCACACCGGAATGTCATAACTTGGCCATGCCACATTTTTTTGCAGAGTTTGGTTTGTCTCGACTGTGGTACATCTTAGTCTGTAGATGTGTATCAACATTTTAATCAATGTAAGATATCTTTTTCTCGTGTTAGGGTTGAGACGGGGTTCTCTTTTTATAACTATGACGTCATGTCAACAATGCAAAACACTTTGACGACACATTTATACAAAGACCAGCAGAATGTGAAAAAAATAATCATTCGTCCCCATGTTGATGAATTACGAGGACCTCAACCTTTTGGGGGAAGATTTTGAAGCAACAAACACCAAACAAGCCTCTTACAACTATTTGCAAATCTGACCACCCTCCCCTTCGCCCACGCGTTGAAATCTTTTTATTTCATCGGGATGAAAGATGATCAGTAAAAAATAAGACAATGTGGCAAATGAAAGGCGGTGCATTATAATCAATATCATTGTAGTGTTACAAAGGAGTGGTGTTATATCGAGGTTATAATGCAGAATGACAAGTGAGTGGTGTTATATCGAAGTTTTCATGTAGAAGGACAAGTGAATGGTGTTATATGGAGGTTTAAATGCAGAATGACAAGTGATTGGTGTTATATCGAGGTTATAATGCAGAATGACAAATGAGTGGTGTTTTATCGAGGTTTTTATGTAGAAGGACAAGTGAGTGGTGTTATATGGAGGTCTTCATGTAGAAGGACAAGTGAGTGGTGTTATATCGAGGTTTTAATGCAGAATGACAAATGAGTGGTGTTATATCGAGGTTTTAATGCAGAATGACAAGTGATTTTTGTTATATCGAAGTTTTCATGTAGAAGGACAAGTGAGTGGTGTTATATCAAGGTTTTCATGTAGAAGGACAAGTGAGTGGTGTTATATCAAGGTTTTCATGTAGAAGGACAAGTGAGTGGTGCTATATGGGGGTCTTCATGTAGAAGGACAAGTGAGTGGTGTTATATGGGTTTTTTCATGTAGAAGGACAAGTGAGTGGTGCTATATGGAGGTCTTCATGTAGAAGGACAAGCGAGTGGTGTTATATGGAGGTTTTCATGTAGAAGGACAAGTGAGTGGTGCTATATGGAGGTTTTCGTGTAGAAGGACAAGCGAGTGGTGTTATATGGAGGTCTTCATGTAGAAGGACAAGCGAGTGGTGTTATATGGAGGTCTCCATGTAGGACAAGCGAGTGGTGTCATATCGAGATTTTTACTGTAGTGTGATAAACGTGGGATATGATACCGGCCTTTTACTATATGTATAGAATGACAAACGATGCATGTATTTGAAAGGTTTGACGACAGCTTGTTACCTAGAAACTTCAGTGAAAATGCTATAAATATATGCTGTTTTTCGTTATTTGTGTATGCGTGGGTTGTTGTATATATCCGGTTTCCATGACATTCGTGCCGTTGAATGGATTAATTTCTGAAAAAAACTGTAACGTTTGAAAAGGTTATTAGTAAATAGATATGCACTAGATTGACGTGTTACGTAACAAGGTTTTTGGTGATCAAAATACGACCACAAAATTAGTCAGTCGGAATCAAAGGCTAAACTTAAATCAGCATCACAGAAAGAGTTACGAAGCATGTCAAAATTGCTCTTCAATTCAAATGTACTCGAAGTAAGTAAGAAAATAGCGCCCAGGTGTGTCCCGTATATATACCATCTTGACATAAAATAGCGCCCAGGTGTGTCCCGTATATATACCATCTTGACATAAAATAGCGCCCAGGTGTGTCCCGTATATATACCATCTTGACATAAAATAGCGCCCAGGTGTGGCCCGTATTAACACCACCTTTTCCTGAAAAAGCGCCCAGGTGTGGCCCGTATAATCACCACCTTTTCCTGAAAAACGCCCAGGTGTGGACCGTATATATATACCACATTTTCCTAAGATAGCGCCCAGGTGTGGCCCGTATAAACACCATCTTTTCCTGAAAAAGCGCCCAGGTGTGGACCGTATAAACACCATCTTTTCCTGAAAAGGCGCCCAGAATTGGCCCGTATAATCACCACCTTTTCCTGAAAAAGCGCCCAGGTGTGGCTCGTATAATCACCACCTTTTCCTAAAAAAGCGCCAAGGTGTGGCCCGCATATATATATACCACATTTTCCCAAGATAGCGCCCAGGTGTGGTCCGTATAAACACCATATTTTCCTGAAAAAGCGCCCAGGTGTGGCCCGTATAATGACCACCTTTTCCTGAAAAATCGCCCAGGTGTGACCCGCATATATATACCACCTTTTCCTAAAAGCGCCTAGTTGTGGACCGTACATATACCATCTTGTCCTATAATAAAACTGATGTGGCCCGTTTACCTTCCTGTCTTAAAACAAAACCCTACTATGGCCCGTATACCATCTTATCCTAAAGTAGCACCCTATCAAGGTCTGTATACCATTTTGTCCTAAACCAGCACCCCGGTGTAATCTGCATATCTTATATCTTGTTCCAAAATAACTCTCTAATATGAGTAACATCTTGTCCCTAATCAATCTAAATTAACTACACGCGCAGTGTTACCCGAGTATCATTCGTTCCTTATAGACAATCCTATGGTAAAACATATTCCCTGAACAGCGCATACTGAAAGCATTCCTTATTGTCGTGTAAATATCTCATTTGGAAATCGCCTACACAGTAAATAAAATTTAATATCCTTCTCTGCTGGCTAAATATTACAAACACATTTACATGTACAAACTACCTCAGTTGTCTGTGTTTTTGTCTGAGAAGTGGTTACAGAATTACTCATTCTGAAATGAGCTTGTCTTTTTTCATATCTTGACAATGAAAGTAATATAATCCATTACAGCATTTGTTTTTCAACTTAACAATTAAATTTAAAGGGAATTTTAAATAGGTTTAAATTTTTCAAATAACTTTTTCGCTGGCACACTAAACCACGTCAGCAAGTGTTCTATTGACAATGAGAAAGAAACTAGGACGAGTTGATAACAACGATGATTAAAAAAAGGTACCGGGACTTTAACATTTTCAAAAGAAAAATGATACGTTACGAAAGGAATCGGTTTAAAATGTAAGTGTAAATGTTGTAAAAGGTTTCTGAATTTTGAATTAAAAAAAATTGTACAATATCGACAGTCGTTTAAACCTTTGAAATACAATATTGGCATTTTTGCTTTACAAACACAATGTCCGAAGTTCATTACCTTAGCACGTAAGTGTGTCAGTATTTACGAATAACAAGTCTATAACGACTGTTTCTATGTATACATGTCACTACATGTGTTAGTAAACGGTGTCCATGCTTATACATACTATCTATTATGGACTGGGGTAGACAGATGATTATATTACGCACATTAAGATATTCTTGCTCTCATTGGATAAGATATCGTCACATGCAGGACTATGTATAACACAATAAGACAACATGCGTTTAAATTTAGATCAAACGCACAAAATGAAATCTGGAATCACTGGCGAAACTTATGGACGGACAACCAGGATCAAATTGCAATTCAAACACGCTGTCCTTTTTTCACAATAACACATAAACCTCCCTTTCATTTTGAGAAATAAAAACAGTAGATAAGAAGCGAAGATTTTGTATGATTAGGATATGCAAACCGGCCGAACAAGTGCTCATCTGGTCACATTATACTGACAACGGTCAATTCTTGTTCGGTGTTAGTGTGATCTACAGTATGACGTTACGGTGATGTGGTGATGTATCAGTCTCAACACTTTTCATCTACTATATCTACTGGATATCTCCAGTTGTGACGGAGACTGGATAACTGGATATCTCCGGTTGTGACGGAGACTGGATATCTGCAGTTGTGACGGAGACTGGGTCACTAGATATCTCTAATTGTGACGGAGACTGGGTCACTAGATATCTCTAATTGTGGCGGAGACTGGGTCACTAGATATCTCTAATTGTGACGGAGACTGGGTCACTAGATATCTCTAATTGTGACGGAGACTGGGTCACTAGATATCTCTAATTGTGACGGAGACTGGGTCACTAGATATCTCTAATTGTGACGGAGACTGGGTCACTAGATATCTCTAATTGTGACGGAGACTGGGTCACTAGATATCTCTAATTGTGACGGAGACTGGGTCACTAGATATCTCTAATTGTGACGGAGACTGGGTCACTAGATATCTCTAATTGTGACGGAGACTGGGTCACTAGATATCTCTAATTGTGACGGAGACTGGATATCTGCAGTTGTGACGGAGACTGGGTCACTAGATATCTCTAATTGTGACGGAGACTGGGTCACTAGATATCTCTAATTGTGGCGGAGACTGGGTCACTAGATATCTCTAATTGTGACGGAGACTGGGTCACTAGATATCTCTAATTGTGACGGAGACTGGGTCACTAGATATCTCTAATTGTGACGG